AAAAGAAAAAAAAACCTACTAAACCTACTAAACTGACTAACCCGACCAGCCAGCCTTCCGTCCAGAACGGTACTTTACCGCCCCAATACCGACTGCATCGTCAACCCAGGCAAGGAACATCCATCGAAGCACCTTGTTTTGCCCACGAATCCGACCGAGAGTTTGCTTTTCTCTGCAAAAGCCCTGTCGCCTCTTTGCTTCTTCCTTTCGGTTTCTTTGTCCCTTCTCCGCCTCCATTCCTAAGGTTCCTTCCCGTCGATACGGTACATACCGACCAACTTCTTGTCGCTTTCCCCCTCCCCTTTGCCGCATGCATCGCTCACCCCGGTTGCCCCGTCGCTTGTCCATCCAATCCAAATGGCCCCTACATGCCAACCGGGGGCCAGGACCTCTGGACTGGCCTTTTGACAGCCATCCTTGAAACCTTCCGCTTGGTTGTGCGTGGCCACATCTCGTGGCCGCCACGTTTTTGACCGACCGCACGATGGCTTGGACAGTTATACCAATGATAATCGATCGCCCAGCCTTGGTGCTGATGGGTAGCGGCTATTGGGGCCAGAATCACGACACGCGCTGCATCATCCCATCGCCGATACGGATTTCGCCGGGGACGTTTCTGGCTATCTGGACAGGTCTCGGCCTCTTTATCGTCCCATCGGCGAGATTGAGATGTCCCCTATTACCACGAATAGCCCGCAGATCATCGGCGCTGGTTTGACTCTGGCGCTAGTTGCATATCTATCCCTGTTCGACCTGGTCTGGTGTTTCAGGTCTTAGTGGCCTGGGCGCCTGCATAAATATGATCCCGGTCAGGGTAAGGGCACCAGCGTGCTCCAGTCTACATTTTGTGCCACGCAATATACGCCGACCAATCTCCTCCGTCTTTGGCCTTGGGTTCTGCGACAGCTCGAACCGACCGCCACCATCGTCCCCCGACCTCGTATATCCAGTGCCAGAGACAACAACTTGACGTATCGCACCAGCCGCACCTCCTGGTTGCCTCCGTCGGTCGAAGGTCCAATATACTGGCATTCAACCTGGTGATGCTTATTGATTAATCCCGCCGCAGGATCATCCACTTAGCGGAGCGGGTCCGACCCCCAAGTTCCTTTAGCCCAGAGATTTGGTGGATCCGGCGCCCATCCCATCCAGCTTCGTCTCGCCAACGGTGCTGATCCCAGTGCTCTAGACAAAAATGGGCTTAGGCTTCGTTGCGTAGGCTCCCGACACCAAACTTAGCTTCCCCCTACTGAGTCTCGGTATGATGGCATACCGCAACGAGATTCGTCCGTAGCCCGTTTCGGGTGCTCTGGTCCAAAGCGCCATATCGGAACAGGTCACTGGGTCGTGTGGCCCATCATCAGACAACCCCTACCCAGTTAGACCACTGACATTGGCAACCTAGGGGGATGGTCTGGACCAGTAGCAAAAAGAAGGATCAAAAAGGTATGACAAGAGTGGGACTCGAACCCACGCCTCTTTCGAGACTGCAATGCATCCAACTTTGTTGGACAAGTGAATGCCACTTGAGTGCAGCGCCTTAGACCACTCGGCCATCTTGCCTGTTTCTATGATAGTTGAGGGAGGTTAAGGTAAGTAAGCCAAAATGGGTTACTGAAGCTGAATCCTGCTGAATTCGGTGGGTTCTATGGAGTACTTCGTGTGGAGTGCTGTACTCCATAGAGAGTGAATGAAGAGGGCGGGATCGGGACCCACAGTATCTGTGAACTTCCGTATGAGGCGAGGACTGAGTCCAAGTGAAAGTACTGTTGGCTGTTTCGGGTACCGTTATTGGAATGTTGGATTACTCTAGATACTCCATGACGATTGGAATCATGAAACTTTAGGGGCGTTGGGGGCATTACGGTCGAACTGAAGTGGAAAGGTCTGTTGGAATGAATGATGGAAATACACTATCGTATCCTCTCCGGTGGCATATTGGAACATAACCAGTAATGTCCCGAATGGCCTTCACGGGTGGCAGATGCCAGAAACTTTATCCTCAACATATGGCAGGTTCGAAAGTTTCGCGGCCTTGCCCTTGTACGAGGAGCCCTTGAACGTGCTAATTAGTCATCAAAGGCAAGATGGCCGAGTGGTCTAAGGCGCTGCACTCAAGTGGCATTCACTTGTCCAACAAAGTTGGATGCATTGCAGTCTCGAAAGAGGCGTGGGTTCGAGTCCCACTCTTGTCATACTTTTTAGTCAATACTCTGATGGTTTTCATTCATTTGCGTCTCTTTTTTTTAAGATGTTTTTTTCATGGTTTGTTTTTGTGCTAGGTGGGAAGGGTGGGTTGAGCTTGCGGTCCTGTATCTATTCTCTGCTCTGGTCTCGTCAAGTCTCGATCTCATTTACTCCTACGGATATATGAAGACCCATGAGGGCCATGACGAGTCCCTCCCCCCATCATCGATTGGCGGAGCCACTACGGCCACCCACGCCTGCATAATGCAGGCTAGCAGCACAGGTACTTAGCGCATGGCTAGTGCATGACTGCATGACTGCATGCGTGATGAGAATTGGATAGATAAGGAAGGGGAAGAAAGGGTCACCGCTTCTTCGTGGTTCCTTTTCCCCGGCTGACGGCAGGATCCTGGTTCAGGTTGGGCTGGCTTGTGGGGGTCATGCAGGGATCGGGGGTTTGGAGATAGGGGTTAGGGGGGGTTGGTTATCGATCTATCAACTGGGTGTAAATGTGAGAGATTTATGTGGTTGTGAGTTGTTAGATGTGGTGGAGAGAATATACTATTATTATGGATCTGTTTGACGGTCTGTGGTTTGGTGTGACATCACAACTTCATGAAATTATGAATCAATTAGTACTCTGTAAGCGGAGGTTGAACAACTTGAAGCAAGATAATGGCTTAATAATAGTATGCAGAGGAGTAAATCTATCATGACCAGCAATCAATAGTATCAAATAACCAGCTCCCCAGAAGTAACCTTCACAGCACTTCCCCTCAACTCCACCGTCTCAATCTTCTTCTCCTGTCCCCGAGCACCAACCGTAACCGCAACACTGATATCCGATCGTCTCCCCATCTCCACACCCTGCACGATATCAAACTCCGCCGTAGACCCAGCCTCCGCACCCGTCAACGCCAGATAGCTCGCAAGTCCACTAGCCGCACTGCCCGTAGCCGGATCCTCAATGTTCCTCAGGAGCATACGCGATCGAATAACCTTCTTTCCCGTCGTCTCATCATACACATCACGGACATAGAAGTACACCACGACGAGACCTGATTCCTCCCACCCAGCATCCAGATACCCGCCCTCCGCGACCGACTTGCAGGGGATCACCTCCCCACTCACCGGACACTCCGTTGCAGCCAGTGCCTCCAGACTAGGTAACTCGACCAGCACCTGACTCATGCCTTTCACGATAGAGAACACAGGGAAGCTATCCGGACCTCCCTGGCCGAGAAATGGTACCAGCGAAGGATGCAGCCTCAACAGCTCCGACACCGCAAATCTCGATGAGTGAATATGCACATTATGTGCGATTTTGGCTGCAACAGCACCCGACTGCGAACCTGGCACCCTCGAGATGGCAAAAGGTCCGGCCTTCGTGATCAGGGTCTGGACGTTCGTCTTGTCGGCTTCATTGGCGGAATGTTCCAGGAACCAGGAGACCGCCCCGATGGTGGGATGGCCCGCAAAGGGGAGTTCTTCGGTGGTGGTGAAGATGTCGATTGTTCGGGAAGAAGGGGATGATTGGCTGGTAGGGTGGATGAAGATGGTCTCAGAGAGATTGAATTCTTGGGCGATCAGTTGTTTCTGTTCCTGGGTGATGGGGGTGGAGGATGAGTCGGGGAGGAAGACTACGCCCAGCGGGTTGCCCGAGTATGGCTGGGTGGTGAAGACATCCAGAGTGGCGAAGCGGAGTGTTTGGACCATTTTGATGATCTATGGGATGTTCTTCTCACGTTGGGAAGAAAAGATGTCGTCTGGACTGGGGAGCAGGCTCCAGAAGTATATATATGGAAGCGACTAGGTGTATGAGTCATGGCGTGAAGGGATTGGATGGACTGGAGGCACTGGTGGGGAACCGACGCCCTCCGGATAACAAGCCGTTCGCCGGGTTGTACGGATGCCATGAATTCTCGGTTAGACTCGACAGTCGACAGATCCACCGGGATGGCATAATGCACAAGGTGCCATAACTTCCTTCCAGACTCGGACAAGCTGGATTAATCCCCGACAGATGTTTTTGAGCCCTTGGAATGCCAACGGCCCCAAACAGCGGCGCACGAGTCGGCGGAGACGTCTGGGTCACTCTTGCGATGTATGCCATGCGAGAAAGGTGCAGTAGCAACTTGGCTAGCATTCTGTTTCATTCCTAACAGGTCCCATAGATCCATTGTGATGCAGCCAAGCCCAAGTGCAATTGGTGCTCTCATCAGAATTTGCCGTGTACCTTTCGCAGACATCGTTCCGCGAGTCTCAAGAGCACAAGGTATGTTCGGATGCTGGATTGCAGTCAATGCAGCCTCTGAGCAATGAGTTTTAATTACCGTGGTAGCTCAACCGATCTTCGGCTACAAGACCGAAGCTGCTCGAATATCCCCTCCCCGCGACCTGTTCCCACTTCCACCAATCAAGGTAGGAAGTATCAGCTTCGTTTTGCAACCACATGACATCTCAGCTAATGTTCATTCGAAGCGGAAACCCCTCCATTCAGCCGAGGGTGGTTCCCTCAGGATCGAGCAGTAGAAACATGGGCCCCGACCTTTGCTCGAAATCTCCAATCTGCAGGACGTCATCTGGGCAACATCTGCACCTTCAGTGGAATGCACGTGTTGTCTACAAGCAGTCAAGAATGGATGAAAGCATGTACAGGGGAGGAGCTCCATCTGGATCGATATCACAGTGCTCAAGTTTCTTGGTGGCAGCATTCACCGCCGACAGAATCAACACCCCAGGGCCTGCTTTCCAGCGGCCTCGACTTACCGGAACCCGCCTTCCTGTATGAAGAGCTAAAGCACTACCAGTCATCAACATTCGGGCTCTTTTTCCCGATCCTGGACCCATCTCTGTTCGAGAGCACCGTGAGGGCCGCATGCTACAATGAGACCTCGGCAGCATCGCCCGGCCTAAGCAGTGCCAAAGCATGCGTATATGCCTTTCTTGCGCTTGCACCTACTGTGGTCCATGGGTCAAGACTGCATCGTCTCAAATCTAGCCTTGAATATGCATGTGAAGCGTACCGTCTGTTACCAGAGATATCCAAAGAGCCAGTTAGCTTAGATGGTCTACAGACGCTCTTATTACTCGTGAGCCGAGATGCAATCCTGATACACACCTTATCCGACTAACATCCCCTCTAGTGTCTGTGCTCTCAGGGACTCGCTGGGGACTTTTTCACTATCGACCATCTACTCTCTACAGCCTCGCGATTCATCTATCACCTAAAGGCGAACTTATCCCCTCGTACAGTCTGGGAAAATCCAACCTCCCTTGAATACCATGCGAGGCATCTATTCTGGATAGCCTACATCTGCGACAAGGGTTTCAGTTTAGTGACGGGTCTCGCTCCAGTGCTGGAAGATGCCCAATGCGACCTTACGCTCGCTGCTATTCCTAGTGAGCTCGACCGACCGAAGGGACGGTTGCATCTTTACGGGGACCCATACCCAGGCTCCTATGTTGATATGTACGCCCGTCTAGCTTTAATCCAATCGCGAATCTATCGCGATCTGTACACACCGAGTGCTTTGAGGAAGCCCGACGCAGATTTGCTGCGAACCATCCGAGACTTGGATCATGCCATTGAAGAGTGGAGGGAGTCGATTCCTTCGGGAAACCAGCCATCTCTTATCACCAGTGCGCCTCGGGACTCCGATATGAGATATTCCATATTTCATCTGCAATATCATCACTGCATGATCATGATTCACCAGGCTAGCAGCCGATGTGCATCCTGGGAGCAAAACCAGGACACACGAGGGACGAGTTCAAGCCTGGCAATCTCAGTCGCAGCCAGTCGATCCTTTCTGGGAGGCTTCCTGTATTCTCAGCTTGAGCTGGGATCTCAAAATCTTTTGTGAGTTTGTGCCTTCCCCCAGACCATCCTTTACCCTGCTCACTCTCCTGTTTGCGTCGGCGGGCGGCTAATGGTCTACCCGGCAGGTTTACCCTCTCATATTTCCTCCAAGCCAGCATTAATCTATTCTGCAAGATCCTGTCTCGGCCACTGGATAACGGAAACCAAGAGGACTTGCACATAATCGGTATGATCTCTCAGCTCATCGCCAAACACCACAGGGACGATGATCCAGAATGCTATACAGCGAAGATCACGTTTGCTGGGGGGGTTATCGGTGAGTTAAAACGGCTTGCGCAATGTGCCATCGACAAGGCCACCCGAGAACAAGACCAAGTGGTGGGCCCACAATGACAGCGAATCATCTCGAATACCAACAGTCTCTGGTTTATATAATCGGACTGTAACCTACTGCATCCAGTTAGTGTTCTTTACACCGTCATTCGACTTGTCCGGGCGCTTTGACTAAGCGGCCTGACTGCTGCCTGTTTAGGGTGTAGACTGGATCTAGTCAGGTACCTTTGACCATGGCACCAGTCGATGGAAGTAATACTTATCCTGGGCAGCCTGGTGCGTATTCCATGGCAGGACAGTGGTCGAACATATAAGCTCTCAGGGGAATCATCCCCAAGGATAGCTTCCCTGCGACGTGCTCCTGTTGTACAACCTACTCCTGCATACGAAGTTGGCCCTAAGCCATCAATCACCCAGCTTCCATCCCAACCGACGCAATCGACCATGCTGATCAACAATTACTATGTTGCCACAGCTATTGCTGCGATCGTCCCTCTTGCACATGCTCAGTCATACACTGACTGCAATCCACTGAACAAGACCTGCCCGGCCGATACGGGCACAACCGAATCCCATCTACACTTCGATTTCACCCAAAGCTCAGGTCTAGACCAGTGGACCATCACCGCTGACAACGTCACCACCGGTACAGATGGCGCAGAATTCACCATCAACAAGCAGGGAGATGCTCCAACCATCCAGACCGATTTCTACATCTTCTTTGGCGAGGTCTCCATCTCCATGAAAGCTGCCTCCGGCACCGGCATCATCAGCAGTCTCGTCCTGGAATCCGATGACCTCGATGAAGTGGACTGGGTAACCTTCTTCCATCTCTTGTCAATCCAGTCCAATCTTCCCAAACATCCAGCTTACCCCATACACAGGAACCATTCGGTAATCTAGCGGACCAGCTCCAAACCGACTACTTCGGCAAAGGCGACACCTCATCCTACGACCGCTGGACCTGGGCCTCCATCTCCGACGCCCAAGGCGACTACCACACCTACACCTGGACCTGGAGCGAGACCGAACTCATCTGGTCCATTGACAACTCCACCGTCCGCACCCTCACCTACGCCGACGCCGTCAACGGTACCCGCTACCCGCAGACCCCGATGCGCGTGCGCATTGGGATCTGGGCCGGCGGCGACCCCGATAATTCCGAAGGTACGATCGAATGGGCTGGCGGCGAAACAGACTACTCGGACGCCCCATTCACCATGTACGTCAAATCGGTCGACATTGTAAACTACAACCCGGCCACCTCTTATAAATATACCGATGAATCGGGCTCCTATGAGAGCATCGAGATCGTGGGTGGCAGTTCCAACTCGACATCCTCCTCGTCCTCCTCGTCCTCCTCGTCTTCCTCATATTCTTCCTCCCCGTATACCAACAGCGCAGGCTCTAGCGCCCTTAGCCGGACATCTAGCTCCGCATCTGCTTCTACTACCGCGGCGTCTGCGTCATCATCCGCATCCGCATCCGCCTCTGCCTCCACCTCCAGCACTATCAGCTGGGCAACTACCTTCCGCCTCAACCCGAGTATTCTTTCTCTCCCAGTTGCTCTTGCCCTCCTCCACGTGGCTCTTTGATCCATCCCATCAATCAATGAGATGACTCTATCCAGCCCTTGGCGCTGGCTTCATTCCCTATCAATGGGTTCAACGAGGCGACGAAAGCCGGGGAAGATAGTTGGGTGAGGGCCATCATAAACGCCATAATATCATCGACTTTTCCCTTTTATTGTTCTTCTCTTTATCTTAGTGATGGATGGATGGATGGATGGATGGATGGATGTATGGATGTATGCGTCTATGCTTATACAATAACATCCAACGATTTAGTATTCAACGATATGATATGTCATGACAACACTGCATAGAAACCGGAACTACGGTACGGACATCTGCACTGATGTGAGGTGGTGGCTATAGGTAAACATGCTTAAAATAACCAGTGCCCGGTGGGAATAGTATATTGTACTAGTAAGTGGGGGTTATGTAATGAAAGATATGAGTCAAGTTCAATTGGATATTTGTATACGCATAACAGTTCATTCAACCTGCCAGTAACCAAATCGTAGACCGGTAAATGATCATATCAGATAAACGCCCGAAATGTTCTCATCGTGAGAAAAGAATTGGGAAAAGAAAAGAAAACCCGAAATTAGAACGATGTAGTAACCAAGGTTTGACCGTCCTTTCGCATCCCAACGCCCAATTGCACTCATCCCCCAAATCACACCATGCACACCAGTATTCCATGCTTACCACCGTCTTCCATGTTATCAGTCTTCAATGCTACCACCGTCTTCCATACACCGAGTCTTCATCGCGAGACGAACGTTTCACCTGCTGACGGTTTCGGTCACGAGGGGCTGAAGATTCCCGAGTCTCGCTGGGGTACGGAGAGCTCGGGCTATCAGTGCCGGAACTCAACAGCTTGGTCGTCTGGGCGAGGTCAAGGTTGCGATCACCTGTGTAGCGTGCTTCTGCATCCTTGCCAAAGAGAGCCATCATGTCCTTCATCGTCAGCTTGGCCGCTGCGGTCTTGCCCTCGATGGTCACGTTGGCCAGCTCCCGCTTGCGATCTTGCAGGTCGAGAATACGCTCCTCGACGGTGCCCTTGATGATCATCTTGTAGATCTTGACGTCGACCGTCTGATTGAGCCGATGCACTCGGTCAATGGCCTGCTCTTCGACGAACTATAAAGATGATTAGCGTGATTCCTCAAGTGACGGACCGGTCAACTTACAGGATTCCAGAATGGCTCTAGGATGACTACCCGACTTGCTGCAGTCAAGTTCAGTCCCAATGCACCAGCACGCAAACTGCAGAGAAGGACCCTCGTGCCACTGTTGTTCCGAAGCTTGTTGAGACTGGCCTCTCTGAGGTCATTCCGCATGCCTCCATCATATCTAGCGTATCCGATTCCTGCGCGCTTCAAGAACGGTTCGATCTTGTCGAGCATTGACGTAAAGACCGAGAAGACGATGAACTTATAATCCGACGACTCGCGCCTAAGGATCTTCATCAGGTGCCGGATTTTCGTTGACGGCAAGACCGCATCCTCATCGTCCCCAGGGTTCAAGTAGATATCGTCATCATCAGACTCCACTTCGCGGCCTCGGCTCCTGATGCTCGTTGGCTTGCGAGAGGGCGACTCAGGTCCTTCATCATCAGAGTCAGTGTCAGAATCACTCGAATTGATCCATTCACCACCGCCCTCTGCGTCTTCATCATCAGTGCCACCAGCTGTTCCAAGACTCGACTTTCCGCGTTGATCTTCTGGGACGAGCCACTCGCCATCCTCCTCATCCTCGTCGTCACTGTCCATGACTACTCTTCGGTTCCTCCGGGACCGGACAACCTGTGCCTCTGAGCGGCGGGTTGAGGGCGACTCCGTCAGATCAATATACACCTTCTGATCGTCCTTCTTCTTCTTGCTGCCGGTATTCGTCAAGTCCGTATCCAACGCAGTTTCGCATTCTTTACACCGGCTATTGCCACCAGACACTTCCTCTTTGCTGAGCGCCATTTGGCAGATGTCGCATTTCTTGGAGACAACACTAAGCGCCCCGAAAAGGTCCGCCATACTGTCCAGTTCATCGTTCTTAGCAGACGCTTGCTGACTGCTAGAGGGTGCACCTTGCAAAAGAATGTCCTTGTCCTTGGCGAGATCGCTCTTAACCAAATCCGGGTGATTGCAAGATTGCCGAAGGCGCAGCAGCAGGACCAAAGCCCCAGCGTAGTCGACCTTTTCACCACCCATCATTTTCTCAAGACTGTTTTCCGTGCGCTGCTCTAGGCGTTGGTAGAAGTTCATCTCTCCCGGCATAAAATCCGCTTCTACCTTGATAACCTCTCGCTTGACAATCTGGAAGCCAGATGATTTCTTCTCTTTCCCGTCCTCACCGGGCTTGAGGTTGGCATTCTGTTTCAAGACGTCCTTGGTTCGGCGCTTCATGAAGACCTTCAAGTAGACCTGCAGACGCTCGATAGCGAGGCCTCCGCGGCCGTTCGCTATAGGCTTCATGATTTGTTCCTTCCAGGCCGCCAAGTCGTTGAACGGCTTGATCCGGAGGAATTTAATCAAGCTTTGCAGTTCGTCCAGGTTGTTCTGCATAGGCGTTCCCGAAAGACACCAGCGGTACTCTGCATTCAAAGCGCAGGAAGCCTGCGTTGCTTTCGCATTCCGGTTCTTGATGGTGTGCGCTTCATCGAGGATAATTCGATACCAATAGACAGAGAAGATGCCGGATTTCTTCTTGTTCTTATCCACAGCACCATGTTCCGAAGTCAAGGTACCGTACGTGGTAATGACCACATCATAGTCCTCCAGATTATCTGTCGCTTTGGCCCGTGCATTGCCGTGGTATACCAAAACGCGCATCCTATGAGAAGATTCAACCTTGGACATGATTTCTGACTCCCACTGCTTGATAAGCGCCAGGGGAGCGACAACCAAAGTTGACTTGCTCAAACCGGGCGGGAGTTTGCGAGTGTCCTCTTCTTCCTCGCCGCTGTCCTCATCCTCGTCGTCGGATAAAGGTCTCCTCAGTCCATCGGCGGGTTTTCTGTTGGAGAGCATCAGAGCAATAGCTTGAACGGTCTTTCCAAGACCCATGTCGTCTGCCAATATGCCGCCCTTGGGAAGCACTCCCTTGGTCCTCTTCCGACCTGTCTCCTTGTCGCACATCCAATTGACACCCTCCCGCTGGTGAGGCAGTAGTTTCACCTTCAAGCCTTCCACTGTTCCATCATCTTCTTCCTCTTCCTCCTCATCTTCTTCATCGTCCTCCTCATTCTCTGATTCGGCTTCACTGACGTCTTCCTCCTTCGTGACCTCCTTAACATCCACAACTTCTTTGACAGTCTCTTTCACAGGGGACTTGACGGACTCGACATCTGACTCCTCCGCGCTTTCGTCGGCAGTCTTGGGCTCCTGCACGGTCACGCTTCCTAGTTGCGCAGCCAGATCATCAATATCCGCATCCGCCTGCTTCTGCTTCTTTTCCTTTTTCTTCTTCTTATCCTTCTTGCTCTTCTTCTTCTTGCTCTTCGATTTGGGTTGCTTCTCATCCTCTTCCTCAAAGGCTCCCTCCAAGAGAGCCTTGATATTCTCATTTGCCTTGGCCGTGTCGACATAGCCGTTCACATCCATCGAGCCAAAGCCCGTGTTACGAGACCGCACACTTGGTGTGAAACCACCCTCGCCAGTCAGATCCACAAAATTCTGTAAATTTTTCGACGCGTTCGTCATCTTAATGGCAGAGGGCTTCGATGCGAAGAATGTCTTGGGAGCTCGGGGTGTGTTGAAGGTGAAATTCTCGGGACGCCGAATTTCCACGGCTTCATCATTGACTGGACGGGAGAAACGGTTGTTGTTGTACGCGGAGGGTCTAACTGGCTTGAATGGGTCAAATGCATCTCTTCTGGGAGTTGATATGCCGGCAGGACCTGGTGTAGTAGGTGGACGGTAATGGGAGGCACCATGGTGAGCAGCGTTCTGAGGCCGTGGCTGAGGCCTATGATGCTCTGGACGGGACTGGTTCGGTCTAGGCACATTGAAAGGGTTGCTAGGATGGTGACTCTGATGGTGCACTGGGCGAATGGGTGACGGCTTGCCGAACTCAGGGTGGTGGGACATAGGACGACGAGGCTGATCTTGCGGCCTGCGAGGCGTAAAAGGGTCCGCAGGGACGTCGCTTTCTTTAGCCATGATGTATTAATGCAAGGCTTCCCCGATGATCTTTTAAGGCGGGGTCTATCGAATCGTGTTCTCTGGGGAGCTGCGGGGGTTTCTGATAGGCCGAGAATGGGATAATCTTGAGTCAATATTGAGCTTGCATAAGGAATCGAGTCTATCTTGATGTCGGCGAGATGAGGGTAGGAAGTCTTTTCAATTCTGTAGGCCAAGCTAATGGTCAGCACGTCACGTTCCCGCGGGGTTGCAACAACAGTCCCACTATCGGGGCTCATCTTCGGAGAAATATCAAGAGCATGGACGTAAAAAACCACTCACTTTAGGCCATTGTGTTGCAAAGGGGGCTAGGGGAGACAAAATCCGGAGTAGTGGGAGGGGCTTTGGGCGTGTTGACGGAGATCGGCTGTGTTTAGCGTTGACATGCCACATTTTATCGATAGCGCTATCGCCCGCTTTTGTTTGGGCCGTTTGCCTGGATTGCCCCAGCAACCGCCGCCACCAGTCAGGAACACGGCATCTTCCCCGTCTGAGCTTTCTGTCTCGGCGAGTCGATACTATTCAATTAGTATAGGTTCATGTTTGATTTTTTGCACAGTGTATGTTCATGACTTCTTTATTATGTTGTGTAACATGGGATACAGCTTACTCTCTGCAGGAAAACAAGAGATCTGAATACGTCGCCGTAGTTGGGGTTTAGTAGTCAATTAGCTAAGAATTAATTCTTGGAACAATTCAAGCCAGTGATGAGCAGAATGAACCTACTGAGATTGGTGGACTGTTCATTTCTGGAATCAGAGTACTAACTCATCCTCTACCTCGACGGACCCAAGCTCCCTCGACAAGTCATGAGCAATGGGAAATGCGCCCTCGGTCCAACCGCACCTTTCAATTATCGAACCAAGTCAAACACTCTTAGTACTGGGAACATCATCCCTTCGTGGCCATATGCCACAACTAAGCTTATCTAGGGCATTCTGAAGATATCAAACTCACACTTCTCCAACCACCAGCTCACATATCACTGCCCCTAGCTGCCCAATATCGGTCTGTATGGAATAACCTCTAAGGTCGGCCTTTTCCATATGTGTATCAGGTAACACATCGAAAGAGTTTCGTAATTACGCATCTCGGTCGACAAATTCGAACCCAGCAGAAAGTTACGACAGGTAATATCAGTCACGATAACTTTCTGATTATGGATATATGCGAGAGTAAGAGCCATCGCCCGAAGCAAAGAGATTTGAAGGGAGCTAGGCGGCTTATTTCGACGTAGGTATGGATTTAGACCGCCATTTTCCATAATGCAGAGCTGAGTGGCTGTCTCGAAGAACCTAACTTGAAGGCAAGGGACGATTCCATATACATGCCTAGGCGTCGGTAGATGGCTTGTTCGTGCTGGATGGATTCTATGTTTGCTTCCACTGCTTCTTCGCTGCTCATGCTCCATCTAGGAGGTAGCTGTATGGGCTGTCCTTGGCGGATGACCATGCCCTTTTTCCAATGCCGGGGATCTATTCCTGGGGAAAGGTGCTGATGAGTTTGACATGTTGGAAGAACATCATTTGAATGATTCAGTGGGAGCGACCTTGCAAAATAGAAAGAAGGATTGAGAGATCAAACTATCTACGTACTTGAGGAGACGCATCCTAATTATGCAAATACCGGCATGAGGTATGCTTAGGAAGAGGTAATGGTCACCTATGTAATACACCCCAGGTTACTGCGGCCGCAGCTCAAGACCACAGTTCCAAGTGAAGAGCCTTAAACCAGGCAGATTCACCGACGTATGGTTCCAGCATCCTCTCAAGCCAAAGACACCAGTCGTCATCCCATCGCAGGGCGCACACAGCATAAAAATACTCCCAGTAGCATGGATACCAGCCCGACTTCTCCCAGTCGATGACAACAACCTGTAGCTGCCCCGGTTCATCGCCAGTACTATCCCCATTTCTCTGAACCATGATGTTTTTCCTTTGAAAGTCGCCATGAGTAAAGATCGAACCATTGCTGTGAAGGAGACGTGGAAGACATTGGCGATAGAAATCTGCTCTAAAGATCGGGCGACCATCGTAGGTATATTTCAACGCCAGTGCCTCGACAAGAGTTTCGTGTGAGGTGAAAGGTCCGTTAATCTCGGGATTTGATTCAATTGTCCGGAAAATATCATCACAGAGATATCTCTTGCCTAAGCTACCGTAGTAGCCAGGCGATGGTAGCTGGCGTAGCTCATTGAAGTAGCTTTGTAGTGTGGCTGCAACAGTCTCTTTTTTTGAATGGCTTAGCTCCGGCCAGAGTGATAGTAGTGTCTGACCAGCAACGCGTTCCATGACGATATAACTTTTACGAGTCTCTGAATTGGAGTAAAGCGCGTAGACTCGAGGAACTGGGATACTCGTGTTCTTTCCAACATACAGCATGTTCTCTCCTTCGATAAGGTTGACGCCCCTTCCATACTTGACCACGTAGTGAGTCCCGATTTCGACCACCCTTCGTCCACCGTATGCCAGAGTTATATCGGGAGCTGCATCGATATCAGCCTCTGTGGGAAGAGGAGAAGGTAGGTCGGTTGCATAGTATGGAAGTTCTAGCGTGGATGCCATCCCTGCTGATCTGAGACGAAGGTGGAGCAGGAACTTAAATGGCTGTAGGTGAGTTGAGCACGTGAAAGAGACCAGAGCTCTGAATGACGCCCAGGCACGTACTAGGCTAGGGACTTGGTAGCCTAAAGCCACTTCCACCCCGCACTTCGGCTACGGGACGACCACATTCAACTTTTGTTATACCAGCTCTACAAGTATATTCCCAGTTTCAGAGAAGGGTATAGCTTCACTGAAAAGGTATATGTGTCTGTAGCGCGATCGGCCCGTCAAGAAGCCCAAGATCAGTTCCGGAAATTCTGTTAGCTGTTCTAGCCAGAGTCGTGTAATGCCAGCTGTGGTTCTGTGTCGTATACAGCGATTTCTTGACTTATCCTGTCATTGAATTAGAGGACCTCGAGCAGGTTCCAATTAATTAGCGGGCTCGCTACATGCCAACATTTGTATATATGACCGGGGCTTCCGAGTTTTTTGCCTATAAAGAAGTGGCATCACATTTCATAAGTCGATATTTCACATGAACAATAACATACATAGCCTTCCCCATCATACTCGTGTCTGCCTACTGCAGCTCGTGTCTTATCTCATTGCCTGGCAGTTCGCCCCGGCGTTCGTTGGCCTCCAAAAGATGAACCTGTTTGTCGGTACTACCCAATTCAGTCACCTGAGACCCGGATTGGGATTTCTGGGATCGTCGCCAGAAAAAGATGGCTGCGGCCCCACCCAGTAGGAATGGGACTCCAAGGCCGACTCCAAGGCCAACACCGAGTTTAGTGCTTTCGGGCATGCCTGATGCATTTTCAGTCACTGTATCGGTTGTAGACGCAGAGCTACCCGCAGCAGTGGTGGTAGCAGATGTTACTGTGGACGACGAAATTATTGTTGAGCGGGTCAATGTGGATGTGGATGTGGATGTTGTAGCAATCGTACTCGTCCCGATGGCAATAATCTCGCCGGTTTCCTTGTCAATTGTGGTGTAATTCCCGGCCTTGCAGCAGTCTTCTGCTGACGGACCGCAACAGTACTTCGTTCCACTGTCGTCGCAGGCCGTCAAGTACACACCGGCCGCTGTGTACTCTGGGTGTTTATCACTGTCAGCCGGAAGCAAACCGACAATGTAGCAGGCCAACGCGACGGCAACACATACGGGGGCAAAGCGCAGAGCATTTGTCAGACGGCCACGACGGTGAGGAGCAGTACTGTCGTGAGACACCGCCAGTGTCTCGATCATGGCATAGCAGGTCGACATCGCAGTATTCACTTTCAAGACAGCATGTGGTGACCCCGGTCCCGCACCCAACCAGCGCGCCGTCTTTGGTGGCATTGTAGTATTCGGAGGAACTCGCCTCGATGCCTAGTTAAAGAACACACAACATCAGAACGACAAGAAGAGCAGGGGAGATAGAATAGTCGAAGGTATACCGTTGTGTGAATAGCATTCGATGGCTGCTGTAAATGGAGAAGAGCATAGCAGTAGAAGGGCTGCTAAACGCCACTGCTTCTGTTGCAATCGCATATTGCTTTCAGGTAAACTAACAGCCTCAGGGGTTTTGAAGTTCTGCACTCGGCAGATAAGTGGGAGCCGGCGATGTGACAAAGCGACTATCCTCCCTACTAGATAATTGTCCTCCTGCGGCGTCCCTCAGAAGGCGGGAAATTCCTGTGCCGCCCAGGCTTCTTGGGGTCTCTCGGTCTTTCTGCGACAAGACGAGCGGCTGCTTGCAAGTGCACGCTTGGCAGTAATCTGCCCCTTCGGCAAGGGGATGCAATGCTCCATAATCTTCGTAAGCACTAGGGGCCTTGGGGCAGGGCCCGAGGCCAAGTCACGTTACGCCTCCATTAGACAGCCAAGGGCAGCATTTCGTATGACTCTTGATCCAGGTTAGAAGGCTGGCTTCACGCAATTTCAGGAATGAACGAACGTAGCAAAGCTTTGAGAGCTATTTGTCGCAGAAATATGATGTTGATTCGGCCTAAAGATATGTACCCCTCAGTTGACGCTAGCTGTTGGGGCCCGCAGCGCCGTGGCGGTCCCTGCCCGCTGCACCAAGGAGAAGGGCTCCCAGATTAAGCCAATGAGATCCCTTGCCTAGATACTTCCGGAGGTGGGGTCCTAAAGGCATTGTCGTGTCATGCAAGAGCATCGTTACTATCACACGAGATCTAGGTATTTCAGACATCCTCGTCGAAGTCATCAAAGGGAAAGTGGTCGCGGGCTGCAGTAATATCATGATCAGTCTCAACCACTTCAAGAATTTTGTCTTTCATCTCCTGCGCCAATTTTCGCGCATCATCATATTCACTATTTGGCACCCAACCCAGCACATCCGCATTTAAAGCATGTCGCATTTGCTCAAGGGCGTCATCGGCCTCTTGTTATTGTGTGTAAAGCTCAAGAGTATCTTGGACGTCCTTATCTGGGTATCGTACTGGAGGCACGCAGTGTATGAACTCGGCGAAAAAGCCTGGCCAGCTTTGTATGGCACGCATGATATCAACCCGCAGAGTAACCGAATCCCCTTCCCAGGGTGTGCCTGCGCTCTCTAGAATTCGCTGGCGTACAATGTTGATGTCATCGAATATCGCATCATAATGTTCTTCGTTCAGTTCCTTGGTGAAAATGGCATAGAGAAAATGGACCATTCTTCTTCGAAGAATCTCGCGCATATATGCCTGTTCAGTCTCGGGTAGGGAGTCAAAGTTAGGAGGTAGCTGGGGCTCTTTAAGCTCTTCCGACTCAGGGTACCATAGTTCTAGAAATGTTTCGGTATGCCAGCCGCGAGGCTCAGGGGGAGGATGAAGCAATGTTGCCAATCAATCAAACCAACAATCTCATGTGAATCTGACACGAGAATGTTATTTGGCTGAAAATCAGGGTGTCGTATAACCGGCCGATGCAGTGCTGTTTCAGCCCCAAACCCAAGGAAAGGTGCGATTTTCAGGTAATCGGAAAGGTTTTGAATATGGGGATCCGGAGAGACTTTGCGAAAATGATAGGTCTCTCTATACAGACGCTCATAGGGCACGCGAGATTTCGCGTGAGATTTTGTCCAAACCAACTCCCGCTCACCAACAGCGCGAAAGATATCGGTAGAAGACAGCCCTGTTCGCAGTTAAAAAGCGTCATAAATTATCAATTGCTCCTAAACACAATAAAGGCCCTGTTTACTTACACGGTCCTCTGTCGATTAACATTGTGCTTCTTTCACCAAGCCACCTATTATAATGTGCTATGGGCCCTATACAAAACCCAGCATCCTTCTGACTCAGCTTGGCAGAGGGACACTTTCCTCTAGAAGATCTTGCGGTAGTACAAGCTTCCATAAGCAGGAAACTTCAATGACATCAGTCGTGTCTCCCACTCAACAATCTGTTTCATCATTTTACGCCGGTCATCTTGTGTCATCGAATACCATATATCACCGAGAGGGGTGCCACCCAACTTCTCGATAATGATATACTCAGACCCAACTGGATTCAGATTTGTCGAAGACCAAGCGCATACCTTGGGTGTTCGAATTCCATGCAGCCGGAGGTAATCCAGAGTTGCTACCTCGCTAGCCACAGCGTAGCGCTTAGGTACGGTTGATGGATACGGCAATCTTGCGATGACACACCTGCCATCTTTCAAAGTCACCTGGAAGATGCGGTTAAACCCACCTTCTGACAATCTGGAAAAGGCGGCGATGTCAGATGGGGCATAGCCAGAAGCAAGAGCTGCAACATTCTTCAAGGCGGAGACGTCGAATTTGAGGTAGCGTTCCGACAAGCGTACATGCTCATTGTAACTAGATCTGTCAGTTTTCGAGAAATAGCTGACAGAGAGAAGGACGTACAGCCATCTCCCAGACGTATATTGAAACAGGTCATCGTTGGAACACGCATTCGATCGACGTGTTTATCCCGCCATTCCTCTTGATTGAGCCCCGACTTCATATGATCGTGGGAACCGACCCAGCAGCAGACGGAGGCCCCTTAGTGGCATTTTACAAAGAAGCTCATTCATAGCTATACTGTACTTAAGAAGATAGGTGCTCACGAAAGGTGATCTGTTCCGAACGGTGGGTGATATGCACATGCAAAGGGAGGTCAGATCTGAATCGGAAGGAAGAATCTCCGGCTGGTCGCCACAGGGAAGCCAAGCGTTACAGTCCGTTCACGTAACACAACCAATTATACCAACAGCCATGAAGGAAATCGAACACATGCTAGACCAGGGTGATGGCTGGAGATAATTCTATTTACTCCTGCACGTGGGTGCTGAGTTTAAAGGGGACGGGCGTCGACGGTTGCCTAGGCCAACTAGGTGCGTCGGAACTGCATGCCTTTGTTTGTACAGTCTAATAAACTGGTTTACAGCTCACACCTCCCCTATCACCCCCTTCAGAATTTCCGGGACAACAGCACTCGCATCACCTTCGAAGAACCAATCTCCGGGCATCAGTCCTGAAGAACCGACATCTTTCCGGTCCATATTGACTACCGCAACTCTGGCTCCTCTTTCCCGTGCCTTATCCACATATCCTGCTGCAGGGTATACCCTGGAGCTTGTGCCAATCACTAATATCAGATCGACGCTACCTTTATTTAACCATTGATCCACCCGATCAAGAGTGTGTAATGGTAAGCTCTCTCCGAACCACACCACCCCGGGACGTAAAAGCCCATCTTTGCATTCTGGGCAGTGTGGGAGCACATCTGTGCTCAGTGGCGAAAGAGGAACGCGTTCGTCCGATATATCAACTGCCATATCCTCATCTGCCCCCAGCGCATTGGATAGCGATTGAGAGGCTTCTCTGCCTGTTTTGTCCTCGGTGGACGGGCTCAGCTTGGGAGCATTCTTTGGCAGTGCGAGGGCAGGGACAATTGGGTCGTTAAAGTCTTCGCGTGAGTAACTGCAATAGAAGGATGTACACTTTACTGTGAAAAGAGAGCCATGGAGAAGATGGAGTTGCTGTGCCGGGTGTTTCGCCCGTTGCGAAAGGCCTTGTAGTGCAAGGTAGTTGATTAGTGATTATCACTTCGAGCAAAACCCAAGGAATTACATACCATCCACATTCTGACTCAGCGTAATGAAGTCTTTGTTTTTTCGGGCAAGCTCGGCCAAGGCGTAGTGTGCGCGATTGGGCTGTGCCTCGAGGGCCATGTGTCTCCGATAACTATAAAATTGCCATACCAGATCGGGGTTCGCATCGAATGCCTCGGGCGTCGCCAGCTCTGTCGCGTCGTAGGATCGCCATAGGCCTCCGGCTCCTCGAAAGGTGGGAAGTCCTGAAGAAGCGGAGATACCGGCTCCTAATAGGGCAATGATCCGCCTGCACCCTTTTAAGTAGACGTTAAACGACTTAATGTCTGCTGCGGGAATGGCCGAGGGGGCCATGGTGGAGTGCCGGGGAAATCGCGGATATGTTCTGAACCATGCACGGATGCTCCTGGAGTAAGAACCACTATTGTGTGCCTCGACGTCAAGCGGGTATATACAGGCAGGTCAGACGATGATTCTCCCCTGTGAGGAGGAAATTTTGTGTCGAGTCAGGCATCTGGAGAAGTTATAACTAAGTTGGCGTTCCGTTGAGTCGCGTTCACGCTAATGGTGGCGATGACGTGGGGTCGCATCTAACTAAACCATTTATGTTTGCGATCATACCTAGGTAATAGTTCCATTAAAGGGCCAAACAGAAGGTCGATCCAAATATGCATGAGGAGGTTTAGTTGGATTCTCAGGAATTCAGTAATAGAAACACTTGCATATCCTTGCGAAGTCTGGGCTGGAGATTGTAGCGACACTGCGGCGTGCAGCGACTACAATACCCCGCAGGGTCAGAATTAGGCGGGGTATCGATTCTTCAAACATGTTTTTGTCATCACAGCATCGTTTAGATTGCCTTAAAGCAGTAAATCAAGACATATACGCTCAAAAACATGAGCACAAAAGAGACAAGAAGGCATTAATCTCGCTTATCAGGCTCAATGTTGTTCCTCCACTGGAAGCTCGATCCCAATGGCCTTCTCCGCATAAGCGCGATTCCCATCATTCTTCGCGGCAACAAAGGACTTCACATAGCTTGGCACCTCGGAAACCTTGTTTCCAGGGCTAGGAACAGGCTCGCCAAACGTCTCCCAAACGGGGACTACCCCAGTCCAAACACGGTCGGTAACCTCCGCATCGCCTGTATCTTTCTTCTCATCTGAGACGCCACCATCTCGGATCTTACCACTGCCACTCATGATCTTGACCTTCAGGATGACGGTCGAAGACATCTCTGCACGGTCTGGAGGGACGCGCGTATGTGCCCAACGGTCCGAAAGAACCGAATTGGTGATAAGCTCCATCGCGTAGAGCTTCTCGGCTTCATCAGTGACCAACTTAGCGTACCCCTGAAGAATAGCTGAGCGATAGTTATAGCTATGGGAGTTCGGTGTCAGAGACAAGATCAACCCATCGACTTTGCTGGCAGCCACGCAAACAGGTAGCCCTTCTCCTTCAGCATTTCGGGCCAGATTCATGATCCGAGAGCTGACATAACCATGAAGATAGCAATCAAGCGGCTCGTCGATGCTAGCTGACGGGTAATCGAATGAGCCCATCTGTCCGATCATGGGCAATATTGCAGGGAATGGCTCCGACGGGTCGGGACTGAAGGATACATGGAGGACCTGAGAGGAGTTTATGATGGCATGAATGGCACCTAGATCATAGGTTGCTATGACAGGTCTTAGTAAAACCTCTTAACGTGTTACAGTCGGGTATTCTGAAGAATATACCTCGGTGCTTGTAGCGGTTGACCGTGTTCGACGGCCGCTTCGGGTATGTTAGAGTCCGCCCCATTGTCTCTGATGCGCTGACAATTGAGGATTCACGACTCAGTATCTAAGCAGAGGTCGTTAACACGGTAGAGAACTAGTTGAAAGTCGAGACAACGTAAGACTTGGTATTAGAACTTGTAGGCTTAGTTTATATATCCTTGAGATGACTCATAACTAGCCAGAATCACAGCATCGAGGGATTCCATCAAGAGGCGCAACCTGGTCCTTGGGGTTACAGTCCAATGGCGAGAACTTCTCTCTCTAGACAGTTCATAGCTCTGGTACGCTCTCGAGGACCGAGATAAGAAGCATGTGGGATGAGCTCGCAAGGCGCGGCCTAACCCGGAAAGTGCATGCGAGACCATCGCAAACTACTCAACGCTGATTGGTCGATCCCGCCGACCGAGGCTGACAACCTGAGGCATGGGGCGGCGGCCTGAACCAAGGGTCTCCGGAGGTCTCGCGATCACCGCCGACCATCCGAACCAAACGCGGCCGAGATAGCCAGTCTTGTTTCCGACAGAGCTTGTCCAACACCTTCAATGGTGCTTCAATAACGATGTCAACATGCAAAGCAGCCATCCGCCAATGGCCTCGTTATCTCCGTCGCCAGGCACCTCTCACCTCCGTTCCGCATATTAGCCGGCCGGTACTCCAACATCCTGCTCTGCGCCGTACTTACGCCTCTATCTCCGCCGCGGAGCTCAAATTCGGCCAGCCGCTACACGAGACGCATCCCCATATCCTGAACCCCGGAGAACGTGCGTACATGCAATCTTGGTTCCCCGATGTTTAGTGCAGCACTTCGGATACATTATTAACGTAACACAAGTCACACCTGGGATAACGGCTCTCGAGTATGCTCAACGCCGGTCACGACTCGCCAACAAATTACCCAAGTATGCTGTCGCCGTGCTCGCTGCTGCAGAGGTCACGTACCGTGCCTCGGGAATATTCAACGAATACCGACAGGACTCGAATTTCTTCTACTTGACAGGTGAGTGGTCATAACGGCTTATTGGGAGGCGGTGTCACTCACAGCTTTGTTCATATAGGTTTCAACGAACCCAATGCGTTAGCCATCGTCGGTGAGCTTATATCACGGAGTCAATTATAGATTTTAGCACTCATTCTAAACAGCGAACGACGGGTCCGGGAACAATCACCTCTTTCATCTCTACGTCCGGGAGAAGGATGCCAAAGCCGAACTTTGGGATGGAGCTCGCTCTGGCACCCGTGCAGCAATCGACGTTTTCAACGCGGACGAAGTAAGATGCCACTCGATCATCTACACTGAGTACTGTTGACATTTTGGGTTGCAGTCGGGAGACATTGAACGCATCGGGGATCTCCTTCCTAAGATCCTTGCGGATGCCACAAAAGTCTATACGGACATTCCGGCCTTCAACCCTGGAAGGTCATCCTTGCACCGGTACCTGTACGGCCCTACGGGAGCATCCGAGAAGCTCAAGAAGCTGGTCGACTACCGGAAGGTTAAGTCATTGCGCCCCATTCTCAACGAGATGAGAGCCTTCAAGAGCGAGGATGAAGTCGTGCAATTGCGCCGTGTTGGACAGGCTTCCGGGAGAGCGTTCACCGAGTCCATGAGGCAGACATTTACCAAAGAGAAGGACTTGACTGCTTTCTTGGAGTACAATTTCAAGCGCAATGGCTGTGATGGCAGCGCATTCGTCCCGGTTGTCGCGGGTGGATCTGTAAGTAACCCTTCTCATGTGGACTATAAACAGAGGCTAATGGATGTAGAATGCCCTGAGTATTCACTATACCAGAAACGATGACGTTTTGAGGTATGTCCCCCTCAAGCCATGGCCATTGCGATACTTACACGAGGTTCCAGGGATGGGGATATGGTTCTAGTCGATGGAGGTGGCGTGCGTAATTTCCCCCCATCAATTGAACAACGAGACTAATTGATTTACAGGAGGCAGGCACTTATATCTCCGACATCACCAGAACCTGGCCGGTTAACGGCAAATTCTCCGATCCCCAGCGTGATCTGTACAACGCCGTGCTGAGTGTGCATCGCAGCTGCATCTCCCTCTGCAGAGAAGATGCTGGGCTCACTTTGGACCGGTTGCATACCATTGCCGAGAATGGCCTGCGAGAGCAGTTGATACAGCTTGGGTTTAATATCTCTGGTGATGTAAGTGTTCGTCTTTGACCCGGGATTTTCAGGCACTAACCATACTCAGGCCATGGGCATTCTTTTCCCTCACCACCTGGGTCACTATGTTGGCCTTGATGTCCATGACTGCCCCGGGTATTCCCGCGGCTACAACCTTAAAGCAGGCCAGTGCATCACCGTGGAACCGTACGTATCAATGTTCTCATGAAATGTGGTTATACTAATGATCGCCAGTGGTATCTACGTCCCTGATAATGACCGTTGGCCGGAGAAGTTCCGGGGTATCGGTATCCGCATCGAGGACAGCGTCTGTGTCGGAGATGACAGTCCCATTGTGCTCACCACGGAGGCAGTCAAAGAGGTAAGTCTTATACCTTTTACTAATGAAGAATCATGGCTTAGACGGTAACTTGTTCTAGGTTGATGATATCGAGGCTCTCCGTGATTAGGGGTCGAGGACCGCAGTCGTGTATACATAGATACCCTTGCATATGATTGTAAAATAGTGAACCGGATATTGGAAGGAAGTAAGCAGTCCAAGGCCAGGTTGAGTAAAAAGTAAACAGAGAAGAATCCGGTTTCGTGATTCGTGGTGTGGTGTAGACGTCACCAGTATTACCCGTATCCAAAACACCTGGACGCGTGAGTGGGGGTTGTCTGTATGTAAGTTGTACGGAGTAGGAATCATGTATGGGCGAGGGAAGCGAGACATGGGGACATAAACCGTGCAGTCCCTCACCTTCGCCCCTACTTTGGAAGGGATAGCGGCAGCGAGTCCTCCAGACCTGCCCTAAAGAGCCGCGAGCGCGCCCCGAGAGAGAATGGAAGAAGAATCAGTCGAATGGTTCATGCTTCGCGCCGGGCGGTGGTTGTCCGGCGCACATCCCGGAGCCAAAACAAACCCGCCGGGGGCTCCACCGACCTTCCCTGACACGCTTAGTCTGCTTTGCTCTTCTTTCCATCATCACCACCAGCCAGTCTGCTTCTCCTCCCCTTTGACCTCCCGTTCCCACCTCCCAACCCACCACTCCCCCCCAGGCTCTCGCGGGTTTGGCTGCACTGCTTCCCCTTCTCACAGGGCACGGCTTTCTGGTCGCTTCTCGCACGCTCACCGCCGCTCCTTATTTGCTCTCCTACCGCGTCGACCATGGCCTTTTTCTAACCGAGTAATCTGCCCATCGAGACGTGTAACGCATCGCGTGCTCGCCTCCAGTGCCCCTCTTTTGCCGGTGTCCAACTCACCGCGAACTTGTCTCATTATAGTGCCTTGTATATCGTTACCACATGGCAGCTGTATTCGTACCACCTTCGCCTCGGTCTACTCTTAATATGTCGACTCGCCGACCACTCGCCAACGTGCCGAATGCTACCAATTCCCCTCACAGATCGGGCCTCGTGCCTGCCAAACGTCTACGACCAACAAGCACTCACATTGACATCCCTTACGGCCAGCCCCCTCCGAAGAAGCAGGTAGTGGACGGGCAGGACGCGGACGCTCGATCTCCGACCCGGACCAGGGCGTCCGTCTACCAGAACACCGACTCCAAGCTGTTCCTGCGGCGGACAAATAATGCTCAGCCGAGTGCGTTTGAGAGGAAACTGGTAGCCGTGAGAGATAAGGAACGACAGGCACAAATGAAAGGCACAAGGAACGAGAGGCCTTCTGCGGAGACCCTCGATTCCATTAGGCAGTGGCAGAGGCATTACCGCAAAGCCTTTCCTCAGTTTGTTTTCTACTTCGATAGTATCCCGGAAGATGTTCGCAGTAAATGTTCCAGACAGGTGCTTGCGTTGGGAGCGGTAAGTTTCTCATCTGCTTCGGCATCCCGAAAGCACTGTTTTCTCTCTGGAGCGACGTGCTGGGTGTCAATGAGACCTTACTTTTCTTGTGTGAAAGATATCGTTGCGTGTTCAGAGAGCATAGCTAACACATCCCGCACAGCGCGAAGAAAAATTCTTCTCGCGTCTAGTGACCCATGTCGTTACCTCTCGCACTATCCCCCCGGAGAATGATGTCGCGAACGCACCAGAATATAATGGGGAGGCTGCGGACCAAGCACCTGTGGACGGCTCGCTACAGACAGTCAACCCTTCATTGCTCGAAAAAAGCGCCGACACACACCTCCACATGTCCTTGAAAAACGATGCACGGCGGGAACAGAAGGGTATAGATGTTCTGCACAGAGCCCGCCAAATGGGGATGAAGATCTGGGCCATTGAGAAGCTACAACGTATGATTGTAGCCATAAATGATGGAGATGTCGGAGGTCATGACAGTCATACCACTCGAAATAGCAATGTCGCCGGTGGTCTCACCAGGGCTCGGGGTGAAAACGATCTGTCACAAGTTCTCCAGAATGAACTTCTGAATGGCCCGTCTGATCGTAACCCCCTTTCGGTGCTGAAAGAGCTGGTGATGTTCAAGGGGCCTTTCATATATATCCACGACATGGACGAGAAGACACGGCCCGTCATGGTGCGCGAATACCCCAAAGTCACAAGACGGCAGGATGGTCAATGGCCGCAATTCCGGAGTGCACGGCTAGGAAAATGTCCGTTCATTGAGGAGCCCCCAACGAAGAAGGAACTTGAGCGCCGGCGTGCCCGCGTACGAGAAGGAGAAAAGAAACTTCTCGCCAAGGCTACTGCTGTCCAGGAAGTCCCGGATGCTAAACTAAACGCACCAGAGACCGAGAGGAAGACTATCAAATGCGAGTCTGAGGACAAGAGTCCTGAAGTGGACCAACCAGAAGAGGTACCCCTTGAAAAACAAATTGACATGCAGGAGATGCAGCCGACGAAACAACTATCGCCCAGGAAAAGCTCGGAGAGTTTCATGCCTCCCCCACTTCATCGCAAGGGGCCATTCTTCCACGGCCATGAGCCTGCTGCATCAGGCGTACAACCTTCGAATATCACGTCCGCTATACGCTCCCAAATGGTTTCCTCAACTGCTGCCGCACCCGGTGCCAAGGCTGGTGTGAGCAAGGAAGTCCATGAACTGAAAAGAAAGGTGCTCGAGAAAGGAAACGGCGGGCTTGCAGCTGGCACAATGCCCCCATCGCACCACGCTGTAGATGGAGCCGCTTCATTAAGGATCAAGGCTCAGGAAAACCGCATCGGCAATATGCGACCACCCGAGAAACTTGTAAAGTTTCCCGAGGAGATAACGATAAAGATGGAGGGTACTGGGGCTATCAAGCGGCGGGCAAGTGATCGGAAGGCCATGGTAATCCCGAAAAAGAAAGAGAGAAGGAGGGACCCCAAACCAGGCTACTGTGAGAACTGCAGGGACAAGTTTGATGACTTTGAAGAGGTAATTCTGAGCACCGAGATTCGACTATGACGAGGCTAATCATCGACAGCACATCGTGACCCGGAAGCATCGCCGATTTGCAACGAACCGAGCGAACTGGGCCGAACTGGATGCTTTACTCTTTCAGCTGGCGAGGCCCTTGAAAGAACCAGTCTCGGTATTATAACCAGGTTACACGCTAGAAGAACAAAGGAGAGCAAGTGCTGTATATGTACGACTTTTGTTGGACGCTCAGCGGGGATAATTGATGAAAGAAAATGAGCCATCCTTCCATAGCATTGGCATCCATGTCTCTCATTTGCTCTCCGGAGCGGCATATTACGATCGACTGGGCTTGTGTCTAGTTCTTATCTTCTATCTCTCCCTCTTTTCTCTCGCGCCAATTCTGTCTATCGCCTTTCCACTCGCACTTCGTTTCCCTTGTAATTGCTGCACAACCGGCGTCCTTGGATTTTGCATGCCTTATCCCTGCATACTGTTGACCTGATGAACGAAAAGCATCTTACGGCCTCGCCAGCGACATTTTTTGGAAGATCTTGAAAACCCCATCAATAGTGAAAAGGGAAAAGGCGAAGAGAAAGCGAAGAAGGGGCTCAGGATGGAATGAGGCGACACGGAACTCATCAGCATCCAGTACATGCATGCATGCACACAGCGCATTGGGAGATCAGCTTCTACTTTGATGGCCTACATTGGCATTGTTTGGCACTTGCTTGATTGTGGCTTACTCTCATATTCTTCTCCTTTTCTTTCTGTTTTGCATTTATCTGTTCTGTTCGATTCTCACGAGTACTCATGGGCGGATGTGTTTTACGGGGTTGCATACAAAGGCATGCGGTACATGCCTGGACCGGTGTTGATTACTGCTTTCGAGCTTGGTGGTTATTCTTTCTTCACTTGTTTTTCTTTTCTCCTGTCTCTCGTCTCGTGACTGTGCCTATTGCTAGTGACTTCATTGGTATACTGGCCCCCAGTCAGTCAGTTGTCTCTCTAGACTCTTAGTACTAGCGATATTTGGCTCTATCACTATAGTCACATCCATAGAAATGGAACACAAGCTAGTTATTTACGAAGCGCGCTAGCGCTGAGTAACTCTAGGTTTGCTCCTACTAGGTCTGTTGCCAGCCCGTTTGCTTCTCATTAGTCTAAAGATTTCACCAACTCAGCTTCTCATTGGCTTTTATTTTTCATGGATAACGTGATTTTTGTTCTGCTATTTCCTTCTATTGCTTTTTTTTTTCTTTTAACTTACTTTTTAGTCCTGCCTGAGGCCCTGCTTGAGGTCCTGTTTAAAATTCTGGATGAGGTCTTACGTGAGGCCCTGCCTGAAGTTCTACAGGGGGTGCTGCGTGAGACCCTGCCTGAGGCCCTACGGGGGGTGCTATGTGAGGCTGTATATAAAGTCCTACCTGAGGTCCTGCCTGAGGTCTTACTTAAAACCCTAGGTAAGGTCCTATGTGAGACCCTGCCTGAGGCCCTAGGTGAGGTCCTACGTGAGGTTCTGCCTGAGGCCCTGCGTGTCTCTATATAAGAGTCTACTAGGTCGTGGCCGCAGGTCACGACCTAGTATCATTTCACTACCTTAATTGCTACTATGTAATCCGAGAAAACCCCGCCAAAGTAGAGAACCATTAACCCCTCCTTGCCTACTTACGGAGTATCAGACGTCAAACTACTCCGTACCTTAGCCACGATCCACATGCACATACATAGTAGCCAGTGCAGAACTATCTAATTAGCCCATTCATATGCAGATCTAACCACTATCAATCTACTACCCTACTATTCCATACTAAGTATTAGAATAGTGGGTGAATGAGTGACTTGCATGCTCACCTCAGCCTCAGCCTCGGTCCACATCCACATCCACCCTCCCTCGGTCCGGGAAACAAAAAAAAATAAAAATAAAAAAAAAGAAGACATGGAACCAACCAATAGAAAGATCTAAGCGCCACAACTGCACGTCCACTGGACCAATAAGCGATCGTGGCAAAGCCGCACGGCCTAATCTGGCCGAAAAAAAAGATTATGCAAAACCAAGAAAAAGAAAGGGCGTGCATAATGAAAATGTTGGGGAAAATTAAAGTAGGTTCTGGATGATCCGGGCTACGCGGCATAGTCTATACCAGGTTGGCTTTATAAGACGGGCTGCTGCTGCTGCTGGTTCTGGTGGGGACGGGGCGCGGAGAAGAACTTAACGATCGAACAAAGGGTTGCTAATTTGATCGTCGAGCTTTCTTTTTTATTTTGATTCTTTGCGGTGTTTCAATTCGCAGCATACTTGTCTGGGCTGTGTGGGGGATCGTCCTTTGATACTTGATCCAGTACTTCTTTTTTTCTTCTATCCTTTTGCTTCCGGGTAGTGACGGCATTGGGACCTTTTTTTTTTGCCGCTTAGGACCTTTGCGAGTACCTTGCCTGACACTCCACGCCGATAGGTGTTTGTGTGCCTGTGTTTGCCGTTTTCGGTTCTTTGTGTTTGCCATCTTATATTTGCCTCTTCAGGGGCGACTAACGTCGGTGCTGTCATTTGATTCCCCCTCAAGACATCAGTCTTCGTCCATCTCTTGTACATACCCGAACTATTCGATATCATCATGGCTGCGAGACTATCGACTCAATGGCTGGTGCCTCTGGCAAGGTCCTCCGTCCGCTGTCGGACTGCTTCCGCACCAGTCTTTTCGGTTCTGGCTGGCCGACCTGCCATCGCCACTCGGTCCGGATGTGAGCCTCAGAAGCGGCATAGCTCTCATTCCCCGCTGGGGGCGGCCCCGGCCAATCCCCGCAAGAAGGTGACCATGCAGACGTTACGGAACCTTTACAAGAAGGGCGAACCAATTACGATGCTTACCGCCCATGACTTCCCCAGTGGGCATGTTGCCGAGCTAGCGGGAATGGATGTGGTTCTGGTCGGAGATAGCTTGGCCATGGTTGCCCTCGGCATGGAGGATACGAGTGAGATTCTCATGGAAGAGATGTTGCTGCATTGTCGGAGTGTCGCCCGTGCAGTCAAGAGCGCATTCACGGTCCGTATACTATCCCCGTTGCGGCGAGACAGCCGAGACTGACGATGACGTAGGTTGGAGATCTTCCCATGGGCTCCTATGAAGTCTCCCCGGAACAAGCTGTTCAATCGGCCATTCGCATTGTGAAGGAAGGTCGCGTCCAGGCTGTCAAGCTTGAGGGTGGTGCCGAAATGGCACCAACCATTAAGCGCATCACCCAGGCTGGTATTCCTGTTGTCGGTCATATCGGGCTTACGCCTCAACGCCAGCACGCTCTTGGGGGATTCAGAGTCCAGGGCAAAACGACCGCCGGCGCATTGAGGTTGTTGAAAGATGCTCTGGCTGTACAAGAAGCCGGGGCATCCCTCATCGTGCTCGAAGCAGTGCCTGCCGAGATCGCCGCCCTCATTACCAAGAAGTTGCGTATCCCCACTATTGGCATCGGGGCTGGGAACGGCTGTTCCGGCCAAGTTCTAGTCCAGATTGACATGACCGGAAACTTTCCCCCGGGACGATTCCTCCCCAAGTTTGTCAAGAAATACGCCGACGTCTGGGGAGAGGCCATTAAGGGCATCCAACAGTATCGTGATGAAGTCAAAAGCCGGGCATATCCATCCGAAGAGTACACCTATCCCATCGCAAAGGAGGAGTTGGCTGAGTTTGAAAAGGCCGTGGAACATATTCACGAAAAATGAGTGCCCGTATTCTCCACTCAGCGTTCCAGTTTATCTGCTGCAGATGTTGAGTGATCCACACTTTTGCATCATGACTTGCATTATGCCCAGCAAGTTGTTCCAGTGATACCTTGATATTTCATGTCCATGTTCATGATTCTCATACATGATAAAGGTGCCAGGGTTCTGCGCACATTGCATTCCAAACGCTTGTTTCCTGTTAGCTCGATATTCGTTATCTTCTCTAGCAAGATTACCTGTAAATAGTATAGACAATAATTGTTATCATTAATCATCATCACCCGAAAGCAGGTGTCATGGAGTAAGCAACGATGAGCTGCTCATCAGTCTTGAAACACTTGAAGCTGTCAGTAGAAGACAGGTTAATCTGACAAGATGGCTTACCCTCCACAATCCACCAACACCTTCATCCAGGCCTGGAGCAAATACGCTGTTAACATAGCAGAACACCGAGTCAGACTCTTTACAGTCTAGCTTCTTTCTGAGAAACTTCACGACTGTTTCGAACTTTTGCGATGCACTGATCTTGAATACCCGGTTTTTGAGGATGGGAGCTGAAGGAAGAGGCTGGAAGCGAACCGTAACTGCAACGACGTTAGCATTCGTCGCACGAGGATAAGCCACATGACGTTACTAGGCGCGAGCGCCAGTGGTGAGGGGCCAATCTAGAGCTCAAAAAGCGCCCATCAAATTGGCCCAGAACGAGGTAACATGAGCAAACTGATAGACAACTTCTAAGGTGATAAGTAGCTGCTTGATAATATAAAGTTACACTTGCCTTTTCCCGTATCCACAGCTTCGGCATCCGCCAACGCTTGATGGGCATCGCGGGGTAGACTGGTTAACACCACGGAAGCGGACATGGTCATTGGCAAATCCGCGCCTTGCTTATCGTCTGGTATAGGTGCATTTTGGGTATTCGAGGAAGCGTCGGAGGATTGTTTACGATTGGCTGGTCTGTGGGTGAGGCTGGTTTGGTCGGGGTTGGGAGAGTTTTGGGCCGAGGGGCCTTGGGAAGATGAGGATTCCATTCCAGTTTGAGACTGGGGTAACTCCACTGTTTGCTTGGTCTCGAGTGGACAAAGGATAAGCAGGAGATGTGGGAGAGGCTCGGTGATGTGTACAGTACGGTGAAACAGATTGGGGTTGAGATTGAGATTGAGCTTGATGAAGAGGTCGATGGATAGTTGGTAGTTGTTGATGTTGCATTGATTGCATTGTCAGGCGGAGGTGGGCACCTCAGGCAGAGCGTGGTCCAATCACAACGTCCGGCACCATCTTCCATCCATTATCAGTTTCTCCCCTGCCTGGTTGGGTTGGAAACTAGTCAATAGACTGGGACACTTTGTTACTTTGTAAGACCCAATAGAACACTTTGCAGTGAAGCCAGAGACGCCACTTGCTCATGGAGGTGACGTGATGACAGGCAGGTGTCATTAATGCCCATGTACTTCTCCCTTCAGACACAACTTCCAGCTAACTAACGGGGTACGCTCGGAAGAAAGCTAGCAAGCTCTCCAGAGAGATCGGAGTCTTTTTGGGCACAGTTACATCTGCTGAGCGTCAACCTAAAAAGACCCACAGCGGTTCTACTCCAACTTTTCAAAGTAGTACCATGAGGTAGTGATGATGCATGCCATCATCGACACTTCTAGTATTTATGCTCGAACCTCTGGTGCTTGATCACGCTGCCGCACGGATCATGATCCCTTCCTTCTATACAGTATTACAATGTATTGACCACGAGGGACAAAATGACTGGGCTGGACAGGACAACCAAAGAAGTGAAGCAACACCGTCCACAAATTAGATAGTCTGGTGGCTATTGGGCGATAAGTATTGTTCCCCGGCATTCCACTAGGGGCCCCATTGGCGACGATCATCCCTTCCCGGCGGCTAGATCGAATTTTGGGCATCGTGTAGCCCTGTCACGGCCGCCGCAGGAGCACTATTGACGACGGAGGCTCGAATTGGTCGAGAGATGTCCGGTTTACAACGCCATCCTCGGGTCAGCAAGACCATATGGCGTATAATGAGATTATATGATGATACTAGGACAATACAGGCACTGACTGCAACGCGACCCGCGGGCAGGTGACGGGCAGCCGGCGAGGGAGTTGCCGGGCCTGACCCGGATTTCGCAGGCGTTACTCCGTACCAGTCAGTCCATCACCTCATCCCCGTCCCGCTATCAGTCATACTACGTACCACCCGTTCTTTAAGTTCCCTCGCTCCCCTTCAACTCCTCCCGCCTCCCTCGTCCACCTCCTTCTGTGCAGCACCCTTTCTCTCTCTCCTGGTTTTCCAACTTTTCCCTCTTTCTTCCTCCCATACCTCGCTTCCGGCGACCCCGTCCGGCCGCACGTCTACCGCTTTCTTCGACCTGCCCTATTGCTACCCAGAATCACCCCGCTCATTGCTTCCCCGCTCCGACCTTGGAGATAGTTACAGTTCAACCCACTCGCGCAATTCGCCCCTGATCCATATCACTCCGCGTCGACGGACTTGAGGACTCATTTTCTCACCTAAACCGAACTTACCCGGAGACTTTCAAAATGAGTAGCCCTAAGCGGAGAATTGAGACAGACGTGAGTACCCCCGCCCCCTCATCCTCTGCGGCGAGAGAAGTGGCTCAAGGCTAACATCTGAGTTTTTTTACTATAACAGGTCATGAAGTATGCCCTTGAACTTCTATGGCACCTATACCTGATCGCTAGCTGACCGTTGGCAGGATGTACGCACCCCTCCCCGTATTCGGCCACCAATGCCCTTCCGACTCTGTGAAACGAATACGCAGTTATGGGATAAAGAATACATTTGAGGAGGACTGTGAAGAAGTGTGCTGATAATCTCACAGGTTGATGAGTGACTATGAGGTGACTTTGGTCAACGATAACAGTGAGTTCGCTCGGCCGTTTGCCACACTTCCAGAGACTGACTGTCAAATGTAGTGTATGTCCACAGAGTTTCGCCTCGCAATAAAGCCGATCATAGGATGGATATTAACCGCACCATTTCACAGGCAAGAGTTCTATGTGCGCTTTAAGGGCCCGGAAGAGAGTAAGTCTTGTGACCCTGGACTGCCAGAGCTCGTCTTGCTGACATAGCCAGCACCCTTCGCTGGTGGCCACTGGAAGATTCATGTCGAACTACCTGACCAATACCCATACAAGAGCCCAAGTATTGGCTTTGTTAACCGGATCTTCCACCCGAACATCGATGAGCTGTAAGACAGACTCACCCACGTCTTCGTCTGATCGCTAACTTACTGTGTCAGGTCGGGCTCCGTCTGTCTGGATGTCATAAATCAAACATGGTCACCTATGTACGACATGATCAACATCTTCGAAGTCTTCCTTCCTCAACTCCTGCGCTACCCGAACCCTTCGGATCCTCTGAATGGCGAGGCAGCGGCCATGCTCATGAGGGAGCCAAAAAGCTACGAAGCAAAGGTGAAAGGTATGTCTCATTGCAACAAAATATCTCCATTCGCAGCTGACTTGGGTAGAATACGTTGCCAAGTACGCCAGCAAAGAGGCTGTCGACGAGGCCGGCGAAGACACCGAGTCAGAAGACGAACTGAGCTCGGCCGGCAGTTACGAATCCGGTGGCGAAGAGCCGGCCGGCACAATGGACGATGTTTAGTTCATCGGTCCTAAACTATTCGCCTCTTGCCTTGGACATTGCACACCAGTATATCGCATCGGCATCATCATCTATATTTTTCGGGACTTCTGTTCACTACTTTTCTCGGGTGTCAGGCGGAAGGGCGTTATAGCGGAGTTTTGTCATTTACGGGGCAATCGACCACGAGGGTGGCGAGGATGGAGTCAGAACAGGCACTGACCTAGGGTGCAAACCGTACTGTCTGAACTACTCCCGGTTTGTACTACACTTAGCCTTCAGACTGTATATCTCCAATGGAGCATATTGTTATAGTATACTACCCCCTCTAGCACATAGCATAGCGCGGTATTTAGAAGATAATCTGACCATCTGCAATCCGTACACTGCAATCACATTCAACTTGTTGTCCAGTACCGTATCTAACTAACCACTAATAGAGCTATCTCCTATGCGATCTACCCAACACAACTGAACTGAAGCCTAAAGCAATCCGAGTAAACATGCAGAGACAAAGGAAAGAGGAAAACAAGAAGTAGTAGAATCGAAGTGGATCGGATCGGCCGAAGGAACGAACCAGGGTATAAAAAAAAAAGAGGAGATATAAGCACCACCGATGGGAGAAAGAAAAGCTTAAGCTTGTCGCCAGCGACACCATCGATGCGCAAAGAAGGAAAGGGTATTAGAAAAAGGGTGGAGGAGCGAAAGAGACAGCAATCAAATCAAATCAGAACCTGAAATCAGAACGAAATAAGCAAAGGAAGGGGGAAAAAGGTAGAAGGGGTGGTGATATCAACGTCCGTCCGTCCGTCCGTCCGTCCATCCGTCATGTCGTGGTTTCATCCATCCATCCATCTATTTAACACACGGTCTCTTTTCGCACCCATACCACACAGCACCCATTCAGCCAGTATATCAGATCATGTAACCTTCAACACCCCAAACACATCCCGATCAGCACTGTCTTCCGTACTCGACCCCGGCCGTGACCGATTCTTGCGCGTATTGATCACCACCTCGCCCCAATGCTTCGGGACCGTGCCGCCTGTCGGCGAAACAGATCGCTGGGCGCGAACGGGGGTCGTATCGGTGGTAGTGACTTTCACGGGGGGTGCTGCGCTGGGGTCCGAGGCTGTGGATGGGGGAACAGCGCTGGGGAGAGTAGCGCGAGGTTGGAGGTGTGGTTGGGGTTGGAGGGACCAGATGTCGATGACGGAGCTGCCACAGTTCATCACCTTTAGGTTTGTTCTTCTTGTTGTCGGTTTCGTGGGGGAGGGAGGGGGTGGCTCACTCTGATGTCCGTTGACAGATGGCTTCGAGGGCTTCTCGTTCGCGCTTCAGATAACTGGGGTCTGGGTGGTTGCCTTGGGCGGATTGGTTTAGGGCGCCGTAACCGTAGCCGGGTTGGTAGATGTCATCTTCGAGGAGGCGGGCGGATTCGGGGTGGGTGGGCTAGAGGAGTGGTGGTTAGTTGAGGATTTGAGAATTTGAGGTTTTTGGGTCGGGCGCATAGGGAGGGGTTGGGTGCACCGGTGTTGGAGAGAGGGGAGGCTTACATTGTGAGGTTCTCGACGATTACGTCCGAGACAGGAGGCGCAGATACCCATCTGTGCTGATTAGATTGCGATAATGGCGGTGGAGGCGCGGGTTGATCGACTATGGGGGAACGGTGGGTGATTATGAAGGGAGGCTGATTGTCGCGGGGAGAGGTGAGAATGAATGACTGGGATGAGTGGTGAGATGAGGGATTGGATGTAGATGCGCGCGCCGGGCGGTGATGCTCAAGCGGAGATGATTTGTGAAGGGGAACTGGGAAGTTGAGTGGTTGGTTGATTGGGCGATGGGGATATTGGGTGACTGAGGAGGCCGGTTTGGATAATTCGGTGGGTGGGAGTGGCCCGTGCGAGCCGATGTCATGGAGAATGCGCTGCATGCATGGCACAGTATCATGCTGGAGATAACCGTTCTTGGGTCTTGTTAGTTGACTAGATTTGCCGTCTTTTAGTCGTGGTATGGAGGGTCCAGACTGGTGTCACCGTTGTACGACATCAGGTCAAAGCGGTGGTTACCGTCAAGTTGCACAGTACCACGACTGATTGAACAACAGCCATACATTAATGATCTTGAATGCACATATCACAACGCGATACTTACCTTTGACTCTGTGAAGCCTTTAATCCAATCAGCTTCTTAGTGGTAGCATTGGTCCTTATGCGCCTCTACACCGAGGCTGGGTATAGAAAGCTCCAGCCAACTATAGCAACCAACCCGCTGTAAACCAATAGTACATCACAATTACACGTCCAACTTTGATCTTAGCATAAGCACCTTTGGACTTCATCTTCATACAATGAAAGCAACCGTAGTCCACATAACCTTCAACCCACCGCAACATCCCATCTACCCACTCTAAATACTCCGACGGAGGGCCGTGGCCGCACCATCCCGCCCGTGGAACTAAGCCCGACTCCAGCACCGACATTTTTCACCACCACCACCACCGCCTATATTCTCCGACTGCGATAACCACCCTCAATCCCAGCATCCATGACCACACCCATTTCAACCAACCAATAAACCACCAAGAACAGACATGTTCGACCTCCCCAACGCAAAACGGTACGTCCTTACCCACCCCAAGCCTCAATCCCTCAATCCCACTAACAATCACAACCCAACTCCAGCGTCCGTCGCGACGAACTCCTATCCAGAACCTCCACCTCGCCCTCCCCCTCTCCACCCCCGGAATCCTCCCTCACAAACGCCCACCAACGTCTCAGCGAACTCCTAAACCTCGATTCCCTCCTCGCGCCCGCACCCACCTCCACCCCACAACAACCCGACAACCACACGGACAATCTCAACGAAGACGAAGAACAAGAATTCGAGTTCCGGTTATTCAGCGCCCCTGCGCCTACATCCACCACCACCGCCACCAAGAAAAACGACACTACCACCAAAGACTCAAACCCCACCGAAGAGAAACCCGCCCAGAAACTACGCATCCGGGTCCGATCGCCTACGCCCGGCGCGGTAGGGACGGAAGATGGACGCTTCGTGAAGCCGTTTCGCGGATGGGAGTATTATTTCTCGGCGCCGGGGTTGATGGCTGGTACTGGGGAGGGGGTGGAGGAAGAGGAGAGGTTGAGGGTCAAGAGGAGGGAGTTTGAGGATGTGGCTGTTTCAGGGGGGGAGGTTGTGCGGTTTGCGGGGGTGAAGTGGGTGAGTTTTTATATCTTTCTTTTGTTTTTCCTTTTGGAGGGGGGAGGGTTGGAAGGGAGGGGGTATAGGGGGTTTGGGCTTGGGTTTGGGCTGACGAGATGTTGCTAGCCGGGTTGTCATTTGCCGTGGAGGGTTGTTACTCTTAAGACGCAGCAGAAGGGTAAGAAGGGGTCCGGGGATGCGGATGCGGATGCGGCTACGACCTGTGTGAGGGATCCGGCTGAGAGGGCGCCGACGTCGTTGAAGAAGCCTGGCAAGAAGCGTCGGATTCAGTTACGGAAGCGGGTTACGGCTGCGGAGGCAAAGAAGAAGAAAGAAGAGGAGGCGAAGCTGCTGGAGGCGGAGAAGCGCAATCGGAAGAACCGCGAGAGGAAGATTAAGCGGAGACAGAAGGCCAGAGAACAGAAGGCTGCCGCTGCTGTGGCGGCGGGTGGGGATGCGCCGGCGGTTGAAATGGATGTGGATGCGTCTTCGGATGGGGGTAGTGATTGAGGGAGGGGTTCTTGGATGTATGTTCTTCTGGCTTAGTTCAGCTTATGATACCCCGGTTGAGATCGAATCATGGATTTGATTGATTTGCCTTCAGCATTTACAGATTTACGGAAACGTGCGAGCACAATGAGACACTAGCCTGACTCGGACTGTATTAGTAGACAATGCAGATATGCATGGCTATTGAAAGCAGTACAGGGTATATGAGAATGGATATCAACAGCAGAACAGAAAGGAATCAGAGCAGTCTATGCGGGGTATGAGATGCAAGGTAGGAAATGAGGCACGAATAAGGAATGGATGATGCATGCATGGAGCGGCATCAGCGGGGGCCTAGAGACGATCATTTGGTTTCTTTGTCTGCGCACGATCAGCCAGGCATCCTTCCACTTCATCGACCCGAAGGTAACTTACCAGCCGCGTCTCCGACAGTCTCAGCAGGCTTGGCCGCAGGCTCAGATGCAGTAGCAGGAGCAGCAGCCTCAGCGTGGGCTTCCGTGGCGGGGTTGGCCGCGCCAGCTGGAGTCTCCGTCACCTCCAGGGTCGGGGGCGCATCGGAGACACCGTGACCCTCGGGTTGGGCCTCTTCAGCAGGCTTATCAGCGGCTGCAGAATCACATGGTAAGCAAGTGGTCGCGGACAGCATCATCTCAGTTCAACATACCAGGAGTCTCCTCCGCAGCAGCGCCTTCGGGGTTCTCCTGAGCAGGCTTGTTCTTCTTCTTGAAGAGGGACTTGAGTCCGTTCTTGATCTTCTTGAGGATGGCTTGGATAACAGGTTAGCGAAGGCTTTGACGCGCGCGCCAGAGGGCTTGCGGGGTTCACTCACCAGGCATTTTGAGCTTGGAGGGTTGGAGGGGTAGATAGGCCGGGGGTAGTTGTAGATGCCGCGAAGTAGTGTAGTTGGATGATAAAGGAATGGACGACCACAACGATGAGTCGGGTCAAGAAGGATGTAAGCAGGACAGAGTCGACTTTGAAGAACAAAGAAAAGTCAAAGGCAGAAGACAAGAAGAAACAAAAGGCTTCGTATGGGCGTAGTTATGTGTCCTCCACGTGACGGGGCACGGTCCTGATGTTGATCGCCTGGCCCTTAATCTGCCCTCGATGCCTCCTTTCTTTCGTCCTGGACCCTTTTCCTGCTTCCTGCTGGCTGCTTCATCTCCCATCCTCATTACGGCCCCCGCCGATGACTGCTGCTGATCCACCGGCGCCGTCATCCACAGGCTAGCCCATTAGTCATGGCAACGATACTTACCCCTGGTGCTTCATCTAAGGAGGTCAAATAGACGAAGATGGGCAAGTGCATCGTCGCCCCCGCCGCGTTAGTCACCCTCGCTTCGCGCCTCTATTGCCAACGGACCAGTTGATCCCAGCATGACTATTCTCTTCTTGCAGTGGTGGCTGGGCTCAAGATAGCAACCTGACCCAAGCTCCAGGGGCGTGACACGGAGGTCAGGAGAGTCTGTCCGCCGTACTTACTCCTGAATCGGCTTTCCACGACCTTCCTTTCAGGGGCAACCCTTATCGTGAATGACCAAGCGCTGTCAATAAAACCCCGACAGAGAAGATGTACGAGGCTCTAATAGACCTTCACGGCCCCACTTTTACTTCGCGAACAATCCTTATTCTGCGCTTATTTGGGACTATTAGATGATTTGGGTTGCCGTGGTGGGGACCTGTATATAGGGCACGGAAATTGCCCTACTTCAGGTCAATGGACTCATATAACCATGCCTGGCTTTTTTTTTCCTGCAACGGCGGGAGCACTCTATCGTAGGAGGTCCGTTGACTCCTTCAAATATTCGCAGATTGTAGCCGTTTCATCTCTGCATGAGCAACGCATTCGCTGGGGAGAGAGACTCTTGGCAGCGCGCCGTTTGCTGTTCCTCCATTTTCATAGGCTTGTCAAACCGACGGTCGCATAGCGCGTGCAACTTCCAGCTGCCTGTCGCGTCGACAATAGATACGCCGTTCGTGCAGGCGCGTCGTGAATGGGTTACCTTCTGTGACCGGCCAGTTTAGAACTCCGACTGATAGGTCTAGTTCGAAAATAGGTCTTGCTCGGGGAATTATCGAGACCTGTTTGTCGATTCAGGGGGAGCTAAGCTAGAGGTCTGATCCGTCATGAACGCGCCCGAGTTGGGACAGCCATGGTTGAAAATCCACCGAACTCGAGCGTAGCTCGCTCCAAGGTTCAGTAGCGACCGTGGAAGAGCAAGTGTCCGACCGCTCCAGATCCTTGGTTGTTGGCTGTCATGGAGGCCATCCATGACTCTTTTGTTCCCCTTTCAAGCAGGATAAGCTTGGTTGGACACGGCAAGCGACAAATGAATAGATAGCAGATAGATAGCGGCTGGGAGCTCGTTATCAGACCGCCCGTCTGACTAACTGCCGCCGCTCCGCCCGGCAAGCAGCGCAAGTCAGACAACGACAACATCCGCTTCCATGCTGGAACTGTCACAACGGCAGCACTGGCAGCACAAGCATGCGCTCTGATCAACCTCGAACCGCTACTTCTACGGAACCCCAAGAGAGACTGGTGTGTGAACGGACGCCCCTCCTTGGGGATCAGACACCGACTGAGCCCGTGCCTTCGGGGGACTCGGAGGTTCCCTTGGCTGAGGAACCTAGCTCGAAAGAGCTCATCTTGGTCTTGGGTAGTATCTGGGTAGGAGTCTTTTTGGCAGCTTTGGGTATGGTTTGGCCTGCGACTGTCATGTTTGGGGTCGAAGCTCATAGTGGTAGATACTACGATTGTCGCTACTCTCACTGCGCCCATCTCGTCCTCCTTCCATTCCTTCTCCCTGCTTTCCTGGCTCGCCACTTCGTACCTGATCTCCAATGCCGCCTTCCAACCGCTGAGTGGGCGCCTAACGGACATCTTCTCGCGACGAACCGGGCTGATCTTCTCGAATATCTTCTTCGCCGCCGGCAATCTAATCTGTGGGTTGGCAAAAAGTGAGGGGACTATTGTACTGGGGCGTGTCATTGCGGGTATCGGCGGCGGCGGTCTCACGGCGATTTCAACCTTTGTCACCTCCGACCTGGTCCCACTGCGGAAACGCGGGGTTTGGCAGGGTATTGGTAATATTTGCTACGGAGCCGGAAGTGGACTGGGTGGTGTTTTCGGAGGATGGATTAACGACACTTTGGGATGGCGATGGGCCTTCTTGATTCAGGTCCCCTTCGTCGTGGTCTCCGGCATTCTGGTCGCTGTCACGGTGCGAGTGCCGGTGAAGACCTCTGAAAACGCCAAACTCAAGCGAGTGGACTTCCTCGGAGCCCTCACGCTCGTCATCAGTCTCGTGCTGCTCCTGCTCGGGCTTAACACCGGTGGCAATCGGGTATCCTGGACGCACCCTCTTATCCTCACCTCACTGCCACTCTCCGCAGTCTTCCTTGGGCTCTTCATTTACATCGAAGCCAACATAGCGTCGGAGCCAGTCATTCCTGTCCGTCTACTGCTGGATCGGACGGTGTTTTCGGCCTGTCTAACGAACTGGTTCAGTACGATGGCCGTCTTTGGTCTTCTGTTCTACCTACCTTTGTTCTTCCAGGTTCAGGGCTTGTCCGCCACAGCTGCGGGCGTGCGATTGATTCCCCAGGCCATTGGAACCTCCCTCGGCTCGCTGGGATCGGGGATCCTGATGCGGTCAACCGGACGATACAAGGTCTTCAGTCATGTGTCTATGTCTCTTATGGTTCTCTCCGGCATCCTGATCTGCACGCTGTCACTCACGACACCATCGTGGCTTCCGTTCATCTATTTCTTCCTGATGGGTACTGCCTATGGCAGTATGCTGACGATCACCCTGGTGGCCCTTATCTCTGCGGTCGACCACGAGCACCATGCGGTCATCACATCCGCGTCCTACGCCTTCCGCAGCACTGGCAGCACCATTGGCATTACGGTTGCCTCGGCCGTATTCCAGAACATCCTCAAGTCCGGTCTTTGGTCTCGGTTTGGAACTCGGGAGCACGCTGGCGAGCTGATTGGACGGATTCGGGATAGCTTGGAAGAAATTCGCCATCTCCCCACCGACTGGATTCCCGGGGTCCTGGATGCGTACATGGACTCCCTGCGCGCCGTGTTCCTCACATTGCTCGGACTGAGCGTACTGGGCGCGATGGTTAGTATGGGGATGCGCGAACACAAACTGCACTCGAACTTGGCACGGAGGGACGAGTAGCGGGTAGGTGGTATCTGCAGGGCCTATAGGAGATAGATTGTACAGCGTAGTAGATATCATGGATGCATGCAGTAACCGGTCGTCCTGCTTTGTTGGTCAGGCGTTGGAACCTGAGTAATTCCGACATCATCGGGTTGGGGCTGCAGGGTCCACCAACACCTTGGCGCTGCGGTGCCAGCCCGCCAATCAACAGCCGTGTCTTCGGCAGCCGAACGGGCAGCGAACCAGGACTGCCATCTTTGCTCTTTCCAGCGCAGCCTCTGGCCCGGGATCTTTTTGGAGGGACCCCCCCCCCCCCCCTCTCCGGCCTGGACTGGAGATGGACTGACCACAGGCAGCAAGTAGTAGTGGCACGACTCTCCTCCTCTTCTCTTTCCCTCTCCGCCTGCTCGGTCTTCTGCTGCACCTTTCCCTGATAAACCCCCAGAGTCAACCCCAGTTGATCTTGGCCGTTGCAAATCGGTGGCGTCGAGCGTTGCGCTGAAGTCGTGGCGACGGAACACCTTGACTGACGCCCAAGCTCCGTTTGGTGATTTTATTAACAACTAATTAATTCTCCTGCAAGTTCCGCTGCTCCAACGGCACACCGCTTCCTCCCTAGCCTCCCCGATCAGACCACCAGTCAGTCAACACGTACTGCGTCGCGATCCGCAGTCCGGCTTGGGTCGCCTCTGTCTTTCTTTACATGGCTTGGGTTCGCTAGTCTCGGCTGGAGGAGAAGAACGCTTATATTGGGTTGCCATTGATCGACCGCTAGCCACGCCTGGCCGACTTATATACAATACTCGCCTAGTTTCTTTCTTTACGGAGCATTGGGTTATCTGTTCTTGCGCACTGGTTGCGATTTGGTCCTGGACGGCATTGTCAAAAAGTGAACCGGGATTGGCTGCACGATCCCTGCAGGCTCTCGACAGCCCTGCTTCATTTCCGACAAATCGTGACGTGACTGGGATATAACGGCGGGATCTGCGCCTTAGATCGTGACCGGCCACATATTTCCTTTTTTCCTCTCCTTCATTGTGATGGCCGTGGGTTTTGGTGCGGGTTTTCCTTCGACATCCGCCGGGGTCGCAAACGTGGTTTCGAAAGGTGTTTGGTCTACGGAAATGGAGGTCGATGCAGTGAGTGAAGGAAAACTGGCTGGGGATACCACTACGGACGGCATGCATTTAGATAAAGAAATGAAAGAGGCCATGGGCTCTTCTCCGCCTCGTCGGAAACGCATACTCCTCTCTACTGAGAGCGCATTCGTCGACCATGTACTTCCGTCGTTGGTTCAGAACCCCGATATCGAACTACGATTGATTACCGATGAACCATCGGCCCTTCTGTCGGGCGCAAGCAAGGTCCCCCACTATATGGACACGGTGGATAGTCAAACTTTCGAGAAGAAGACAGGTGCTCGGAAATGGCTGAAGGCCAAGGCGGCGGAGCTGTGCGACTGGGCTGATATGCTGCTGGTTGCGCCGATAGATGCTGGAGCGCTGGGATCGATGCTGTATGGGTTGACCAACACGTTGACCCTGGCCCTCCTGCGTGGTTGGATGTCGTCGAAGCCGGTCGTACTGATTCCTGGGATGACGGTGTCTGAATGGCACCATCCGCTGAGCAAAAGGCAACTACGAGAAGTGGCGGAGTTCTGGCCATGGATAAGCGTGGTACCGCCGGTTCTGTGGGAGTCGGTCGACCCGGAGGAGCTCATCCAGTTACCCTGGGAAGGCTTGAGAGACCTGCACGAAAGTATTGAGCAGACCCTAGGTCTTTCGTTCTCGCAACTTTCCTCCATTCCCAATCAGCTTGCAGAATCAACATACCCGGTCAGCTTGCCAGAGCAGGCTCCAGGGGACGCGGCTTCTACAATATCGCGGCATCTTCTACATCGCGTCAACAAGGCCGAAACTGGTCCACGCTCATTACCGATGGAGCTATGGCTTAACGTTTTTGAAGATCAATTACACGATTGGGAGATTGCCAAGGCAGTTGGCATCCCCACGAATCTCCCGGTGCCGAAGGAATGGCAAAGTCACCTGCTGAAGATGTCCACCCCGGCCTCCCTGGAATACACCATTCTCCGCGGCTCATTCGCTGCGATCAAGAAGCGCATCGACAGCCTGCCACGATGGAAGCCTTTATCCGACCTCGCCTGCCATCTGATCTTCAAATTCTCCCGTACCGACATCCTGTCCTACCTCACCGAAAACCATCTTGATCTACTCTGGACGACATCTCGTCTCACCAACCTCCCGTACCGCGCGTCCGCGATCTACGGAAACCCCAACATCCTCACGTGGTGGCGCGATGCGCCGGCTCTTCCCAATAAAGAATACATTGCCGATGCCATGGACGGAGCCTCCCGCGCCGGGTTCGTCAATGTGCTGGAGTGGTGGCGGACCTCGGGCCTTGAGCTTCGGTATACCGAACGCGCGCTCGAAGCGGCCAGTGCCGAGGGCCGGGTTGCCGTGCTCGCCTGGTGGAAAGCCGCCTCGGCCAACGCACCCGCGTCGATACCCCTCCCCCTCAAGGTCGGCAAATCCGTCCTCCTTGCTGCCCAATCTGGCCGCACCGCCTCCCTGGCCTGGTGGGACGCCTCCGGCATTCCCTACACCCACGGGGAATCCGTCGCCCGCATCGCCAGCACACACGGCCACGTTCACGTCCTCGACTTCTGGCACCGGCTGAAAGGCTCCAAGATGATCTTCGACAGCCAGGTCCTCGTCGGCCCCACCAAGAACGGACACGACAACGTCCTCGAATGGTGGCGTCGCAGCGGTCTCCGCGTCGAGTTCAAAACCTGCGATATCGAAGAAGCCCTCGAGGACTCGGACCCGGTGTCGGGTGCTGAAGAACGCGTCCGTGCCTGGTGGGCCCGTAACGGTCTCAACCTGGGGGTTGGCACCAGCGAATGGATGAAAACGAAAGTTCTATAATTAGGATACCAAGATACCTTCCTTCATCTCTTCCTTATCCTTCTTTTATTTCCATCTTGTTCATCAACAATCACTTCACGAAGCTCATTATCCATAATACCCTCTTCCGCTGGCGTTCTCTTCTTTACTGAACTACCCACTTTTTTTTTGTGTTTATTTCTTCTGACGAAAAGATTCACGAATGAGAAGGGCTGGGAATGATGACTATTCGCATTTGCATTGTCTGGGATTGGCGGGGGTTGGTATTTGTTTATCGGTCTAGGTATGGGATGGGTACTAAGTTTCTTCTTGTACCTGTGTAGGGAATAAACATAGCGTGGTAATATCCTTAATCTTGATAATATTCTCGTTGGAGTATCCTATCCTGTCTCTTAGTGTATCATCATCTTTCGAGGGGCTTCGGTTCACCGGGCTACGCCAATATCTTGTAGCCATTATCCTCCTATCAGATGGTTGTCACGGCTGACTACTTAGGAATAGGGGTAGTTATGGAGTTTTAGACCCGTAGGTAGTAAGTACATCATTCATACATGGAATTTCATTCTAGCAACTACCCCGTGCGCCCGTACCATGCGGATTACCCGTCCAAGGAAGGGCAGGGATATAGAGTGACGCGAAAGCTTAAGCTGTCCTTGCGGAGGGGATGACTCTTTCTTGTCGTGGAGAAGTGAGGCGAATCTGGATTGGATTGGTTCGGTTTGATGTGATATGTATTGTGGGTGTGGAAAATGCGGGCAACCTGGTCTTGATCATCTAGACTTCTTTCCTGGGGTGGGTTAGTCGGTGTCAAGTTTTGAGGTTGGAAAGGTATTTACCAGGTAGGTTCGTGTCTTTCGATGCCAGGGGTGCGGATGGCGTTGCGGTCGCCGAAGGGGTTGTCTTCGTCGTCGTCGTCTTCGGACTCGGATTCACTGGAGCTGTAGACTCTCCTTGACGATGAGGATGGCACGGATATGCTCATGGGGCGAGGAGGCCGGGGTGGTTTCCGGGGATTAACGACTAGTCCTGCGAATGTCTCGGGGAGGTCGTCGCGATCAGGGGTCCATCCGGTTTCTAGTACGTCCTGGTCACTATCACTGTCGTAGTCTACACTCTTGTCTAAGACCTCGAATGCCATCAGTGCCGTGACGAGCTCTTCGTTCGCGTGGATTAAGCTGCCCAGGAATTCTTCGCTCTCCACATGTTGGATGTATCGGAGAATCTGTCGCCGTAACGTCTTGCATGTCTCGAACCGGTTTAGGACTTCAGCGTCTTCGCTCACACGATGCGTTTCGCGGTTGACTAGCTTCAGCGCGTTCAAGAGGTTTGTGCTGGCGACGGAGGATGATGCGAGGGTTTGCAGGATTTCTGGCTTCTCCTTGTCGATGTTGAAAGACCGACTTAATGTCTTCTTCTCCCGCTTGTCTTTCCTAAATGAAGATAGAGACGATTTGCTGGATGTGTGCTTGTGTTTCGGGCCCGTGAGCACCGTAGCAGGTCCATTTCCGGCCGACACGGACACAGTATGGCCCATTGCAGGTTCGTCAGAGGTACCTGAGTCCCTTAATACCTTGGCCTTCGCCTGGACAGCCGGCTGCTTGCGCTTCGGTAGCTGTCTATAAAGGCCCGTCACCCGCTCCATACCGGGGGTGTTCTTGTATGAGGCTGCCCATTGCCCAAAGAGCTGTTTGCATTTCTCTTTCACCAACGGGTCAGAAACTGGGTCGGTGGCGGCAATTCGGAGTCGCTCGAGCAATGGCTCATCGGCAAATTCCCGCAAAAAGCGATCACCCGTATTCTGGATCAGGAAATCCAGAATTGTGAGCGCTCTCAATTGGCGGTGAAGGTTGCCATATTTGCTGAAGGGGAGTCAGAACGTTGTTGATCGGAAACAAGCGGGCACACTGACAGTTTCTTACGCAGAGCGCGACTTGCCTCAGTGGGACCACTGCCCTGGATGCGAATGGCCTCGATTAGGTCCACGATTCCACTGGAGTCCTCCACCTCATATTGTTCGCTGGTGAGGACCTCGATCTGGACCGTCACAGCCGTATACGGCTTCTATAAGAGCGCATCTGTTAGTCTCAGCGGATGAGTTGGAGGTACATGTCGGCTGCCGTGAGATTGCAGATAATCATGTATGCGTTATGCAATTGACAGTGGGTCGGGCTGCGCGAGGCGGTTGCCAAACTGACTTACCGATGAGTGAAACATGGTGATAACCTCGGACGTGTGGGTATATAGCGATAGTATTCAAGGGAATGGGATATGATCTTCTCAACTCTCACATGCGCATCGAATTGTCAACAATGCATCAAGGAAGATCGATTCCGTAAAGGGGGTGGGTAGCGAGACGAAATGCAATCGAGTCCTCTTCCCCTCTTTGCGCCCCAGGTATATAATATCGGTCGGAGGGTATGCGCCCACAATGGTCTCACTCAACAGAGGCACTTCCCGGTGCCTGGAAGGATAGGTATCGATAGATATCAGGAGGGTCGCGGGAGCAGAACGGTGACGTGTTAGGCCAACTGGATAGCCGTTGTGGATGATGCCTAGGCGCGGGGGAGGACGGAGCAGCCGGGCGCACTAAGGGCAGCAGCGTTGGACTTGCAGACTACTCGCCGGGAGCTGATCTGGCTGCAGCAACAAAAGATGGAGACGAAGGATCGGGATGGCGCCTCCAACGTCATGCGGTGGTGTCGATAAGTCGGTTCGTTGTTGATACCATCCCGATCTCGTGACTGCCCCTCGCGACTTGCCCGATCGGGCTAAGTGCGGGGAACACTGGTTTCGAGCCTGGGGCCTCCCACTCCGATGTCCGGATGGTTCAATCGATCATCATGGAGGATACGACTACGAGCCTACGCATCCCACGCCCAGATCTTGGCCAGTGAATACGTTCCTTCGACGCAGGAACTGCATCCCCAGCTACCAATTGCTGTGCTGACTACTGACATCACCCAATTCCATGGGTCTGCGGTCGACGAATCCGGCAGATCCTTGCTCCATTCGCAGGCCGCGTACTATCTCCATCTTCTCCCGCCTAGTCCTCTGCTCCACTCTTCTACTGGGTGTCAGCTTCATCTTAAAAACCCGTCCCCATCTGGTTCCTCTTCTCCCCCACCTATCTCCCTCCCCTGCCCCTTATACCCAACCCGCCACCATGTCGTACCAGCAAGAACGCTACATTGCCGAACTCGCCGTCCAGCGCGCTACCCTCCTCACCCAGAAGGTCTTCAACGAGAAGGCCAAGGGCACCGTCTCCAAAGATGACAAGTCGCCCGTCACCATTGGCGACTTCGGCGCCCAGGCCCTGATCATCCAGGCCATCCGCAAGAACTTCCCCAACGACGAAATCGTCGCTGAAGAAGAGGCCAGCACCCTCCGGGAGGACAAGGCTCTCAGCGCAGAGATCTGGAGACTGGTGAAGGACATCAAGTTGGAAGACAGCGAGAGCGACAACCTCCTCGGAGGCCAATTGCCTAGCGAAGAAGCGATGCTGGACATCATCGACCAGGGCAAGAGCGCTGGTGGTCCCACGGGTCGTATCTGGGCCTTGGACCCCATCGACGGCACCAAGGGTTTCCTGCGCGGTGGCCAGTATGCAGTATGCCTCGGTCTGATTGTGGATGGTGATGTCAAGGCGGGAGCCATTGGCTGCCCCAACCTGCCCGTCAACGACTCCGAGACTTTGTCCTCCGGCATCGGCGCTGAGCAGACCAGCGGCGCCGGCAAGGGTGTCCTCTTCTCCGCCATCCAGGGTGTCGGTTCCATCAGCCGTCCCCTTACCAACGGAGCTCTCGCTGAGAGCAGCTCCATCTCCATGCGCCCCGTTCCTGATATCGCGCAGGCCGTGTTCTGCGAGGGTGTGGAGGCTGCTCACTCCGCTCAGGGCGACAACGCTGCCGTCGCTCAGCTTCTTGGCATCACCTCCCCCAGTGTGCGGCTGGACTCCCAGGCCAAGTACTGCTCGATCGCCAGAGGTGCCGGTGACATCTACCTGCGTCTGCCGGTCAAGAAGGACTACCAAGAGAAGATATGGGACCACGCCGCTGGTGACTTGATCGTTCGCGAAGCCGGTGGTCAGGTGTCGGATATCTACGGCCAGAGACTGGATTTCAGCAAGGGCAGGACCCTGGCGGCCAACAAGGGAGTTGTCGCCGCTCCCAAGGCCATCCACGACAAGGTTATCGGTGCTGTGAAGACCGTTCTGAAGCTGTAAGGGGCTGATAATGGAGGATTTGCCTATCATAAATATAGATTCTCGACAAATTCTGTCAGACCGTGCACGCTAGATGCGTCTAAAAGTACATAAAAAAAAGATACCAATTGCGAACCAAAAGAACCGTGCTCGGATATACATATACAGAAATAATAAACACAGTTTCGTTCCCCCAAGATATAGACGCCAGTTTCACCGAATCTTCTTGTCCTTCAATCTGATGGTCTCTCCGTTGACGAAGATACCCTTGCCCTTGTAAGGCTCCGGCTTGCGCCATGCGCGGATCTCCGCCGCGAACTTGGTCACGACTTGCTTGTCAACGCTCTCCAGCAGAATACGGGTAGGCTGAGGAGTGCTGGCCTTGACGCCCTTGGGGATACCCAGCTCAATCGGGTGCGAGTATCCGACCTTCAAGGAGACGAACTGCTGGCCGGGGTATTCGGGCTCGACCGTAGTCGCCGTGGATTCGATGGTAGCTCTGTAACCGACACCGACAAAACTCAGGATGCAGATGTGGCCTTCCGACACGCCGAGGATGTGGTTCTGTAGATGGGCACGCATGGTTCCTATAACAAACACCTGTCAGCTGCAATCCGACGAGAACGGCTTCCAGAACCGTACGCACCCCACATGGCACGTTGGTGAGTGACCAAGGTATCTTCAACGGCAAAAGTTGCCTTCCGCTGGGCTTCATCGTAGTCGACTTTCACGTAGGAAGGGATGTTGAGCGACAATTCACCTATCGCTCAGATGTCAGTCTAGGTCCGTCTTCCGACACCTAGGTCGGAGCGGCCACTTACCCAAGGGTCCCTTGACCTCAATGGTCATCTTAGGATAGTCGATCGATTTTGCCTTGGTTTTAGGCTGGGGGAAGTCGACGAACTTGAGCGAGACCTCCGGGGGGACGCTGATCGCGGCGCCTCCAACTCGCGAATGTGCCGGGGAGGTGGTCGAGAAAGGTTGGGTCCGGAGAGGGTGAGAGAACGCAGGGGCGAGGTAGACAGGCAGAGGTCCTTGTCTCAAAGGACTCCGCGCAAGCTGCCTAAAGCAGCTCTGGGTCAGGGAACATGACATGGCGACGGGAATTGCGAATTGAGGTCTGAGCGAGTGCTTGGGAACTCCGATGCCGACTGATTTTGTCCGGAGGTCTTGCCGCCCGATGGGGTTAGTGCAGTGTCACGTGATGCTCTGTATAGATGCCTTTCTATCTCTCCATCTCTCACTTTTCCTTGACTTCCCACATCTCAAATTGTCGGTCATGGTATCAGTATGAGCTTCGAGTAGTTGAAATTGATCCTAGGCTTTTTCATGTCTGAGTCTTCTACATTGGTCCACCAGTATATTACTGTCGCTCTCATTCCTTCTACACTTTCAACCGCGCGGCTGCTTTGACCGTCGCTAATCTCACCATTGCTGTTGTGTATCCTGAGTCTCTCCACTCTATTCTTTTATCATATTTTCTGCTTTATTATCTACAATCGCCACTAAGCAGTGTTATCTTCGCCGTCTCGTATACTTCCCCGTACATCTATCGCACTAATCCTCCAAGCTTGGCCATGATCACTATTTCGAAGATGGCGATGATCTCAGGACTTCGGGGGTCCTTGGCAAAACTCATCTATTGCCTCATACTAATACTGAACTCAAGTCTTGCTACAGCTGCCGTGGAATCCAAGGACAGTACGTTGACTTGCCAAGGTCATGTCCGATTACACTAACAAGCTAGCAAGCTCTATCAGCTCAAGACCAACACTCGATGGAGGACATCAATATGGCTTCCTTGCTGAAGTCGAGAAGTCAGGAAAATGACGTGCTATTTTCGGAAGCGCTGGTACTTCTCGAGTCAATGAACTCATCCCCTTCCTGCAATCGGATGGCAGTTTCAAAGCTAGTTGCATCCTGCGAATCCATCAGCGGCAGGCCCGAATCAGCGGATAGCAGTACATTCGTGACACTAGAACACGTTCGATCACTCTATGCAGCCAGGCTTGCCATTTGCGAACTCAACGAAGCGGGAGCAGTCGTTCCCACTCCATGCCTTTCTATAACAGTTCGGTTGCCCCAGAAGAAAGGGATTTTCGGGCTCTCGACTAACTACAGACCCCGCTTCAATGCTGCGGAGTCCGTATCCAAAGGGCAGCTAGAGACATGCCTCAAGTCACTAGAGTCACGACCGCAGTGGTGGACTTCATATAGCAACAGTAGACAGAATGCCGTGGTAATATGCCAGGCTGCTAGGTTTGAAAGCGAAAGGGAGGAGCTCCTGGAACTCCATAGGTCCATAATACAAAGTTCCGTCAAACTTGATCATGGCCTCCAGGAAACTTTGGAGGCGGCTGCAGCTGGATCCTCTCGTTATAAAGAATTCGTGCAAGCAGTTGAAGACATGAGAAACAGACTGGTATCTGACCTGGAAGAGACAGAGTCGCACTTCAAAACTACGTTGTCGAGATTACTTCGTGACATGGAAGCTTATGTTAGCTCAGTCATAGAGCCTGTTGCTTCTGCTATAGGGAGTCTGCATGGCAAGACAACGTTGCTTGACATGGTAAGCAGGTCACTACTTCCATGGAATATAACTGACGCATTGTAGACTATTGGGAATGCCACAAACGTCGCCGACCATCTTCAAAAGCTCCTGCAAACTTTACACAATGAGACTCTGGCAAGAAATAAACAGATGGCGGCAGCTCAGCAGCAGGATGTTCTAACAAGCAATGAGCTGACTTTGTCTTTCCAGTCAAGCCTGAAAAGGCTTATACAAGACGACATGGCCAGGCTGTCTCACAGCGTAGAGAGCTTTGATTCTTCTTTGGTAGGTTCTGTCTTTGTCTGCAGCATTAGAGTCTGACTGTGTTAGGAATGGCTTTCTGCAAAGTTTGTACAGATACTGCAACAAGAGGAGAGTATCTCGGAGGTTCGTGTCAGCCTAGAAGCAGTTAGAAAGTCAGCTAACCTCTCCAGCGCCTAAATGGCCTCGAAGTTGCCGTTGCTGAGTCTCAGGCAATAGCTGAAGAGCTACACAGAGCCCAGCTGCAACATAACGCAGCAATGCAGGGGCATTCTCAACTACAAGAACACCTGCAGACGAATATGCGAATCTCCCAAGCGCTCCTTGAGAAAACAATTGCTGCTGCTGCCAATTTGCAAGCGATGGTTGACGACACCGCAACCAGATACAAGGAAATACCTGCTTTCAGAAGCTTTCTGGGCTCATACCCTGCAGGGACCGTATATAGTCTCTTGGTCGGATTGATTGGCGCCCAGAGCCCGCGGCTTGCCGTAGTAATGCTTGTAATCGGTATTTGTATGCACACCCCCTCATTGTGCCGAGCATATCACTAAGTTCTGCTGGGAACAGATCATTTTACTACAACGATGATATTCTGATTTATGATTTCATGGTCAGGTCAATAGTAGTTTATATTTTGCAGCACTATATGACTCTACGTCATCTGCATGGTTCTCATTCTATCATTCGAAGGAAGAGAATGCTAAAGTAGCAGCAAGAGATTATGCCTTGTCTTGCACAATTATGACATTGAATGTAGTCTACAATGGCTAATGAAACCTGATCATACCGGGCCTGCTCCATGAAATTTATATAATGCGCAATAAGCTACCAGAAGCTAAAGTGCTCAAATTAGAGACAACTTTAGTATCAAGACTGCTTACTATGGCAGTCAATAACGAAGGACCATCAATTTAGCGTCTCAAATTGCAGACATTGGACACTGAAAGAGATCATACTAGACGTTGTCTCACTCTAGAACTGACCGCAGACTTTAGGGTTAGGCAGGGCAGAAAGCAGCGGTGTGATACGGCAAAAAAGCGCCCGCCGATCGACGTCAACCTTCCATGACCTTCGCGGAACCCCATCCCACCTCGCCGGAAGCGATCTCCATTACCTGAAGAGGGCTTGTGACAAAACGGATCATTTCCAACCAGTACGTGTTTGCCCCCTTCGCTGTCATCTGCATACCCATGCCCGAAGGAATCAATTCCAATCCCCGCAAAAAAGCCCCCGATCCACACTCAGACCGCCTTGGAAGCTGGAGCCGCCGTCTGGGGTCGCCGCATCTTCCCCAGAGCCCACCTTCAGAGCAAAATTAGCTGGTGTTCCTATTTACGGATCATTGCGTCAAATGACGCAGGGGTCGCACACTGGAGGTTGTGCAAGTTCTTTCCGGCGGGGGTTGAAGGAAATGGGTTTCTTTCTGCCTGGCGATAAGCTGACTCTCTCCCCGCGACTAGCGTTGATCACTGGTTCCCCCCTCGAGCTACCACGGGTGGTTTTTATTGGTCCTATTGTCCTGCGCCGTGAGGGCGCGTGCAATCGCATCGAATCCGCAATCAGAGCACCCTTCTTGCCCAACCACATCACACGAAAATATGGCCGATCCGGTTTCCGACGCCCCTGCTATGGACGAGTTCGCACAGACTCGAGGTGGTGATGATCTTTTCGACGATGAGATTGTCCCTGTCCCCGCAGCAGAACAGAAGCCCGTGCCGGAAGTGCATGAGGACCCTGCCCCCGTCCCTGCTGTCGAGAACGATGCACAACCAGCTCGGACTGATACCCCGCCACGGTCGCGTGGGGGTGAGAGACGAGGACGGGGTCGAGGCAGAGGACGCGGTGGACGGGGATCGCATAATTCAGGCCGTCGGGGCGATGGACCTGTGAAAACCAAGCCCGCTGAGAGTCCTACGGAGCGTGGGGACAAAAGTGCGGAGAACTCGACTCCTGAGACGCCTGCTGAAGGAGAGCAGACCGGGAAGGAGGATACAACGGCGGATTCTAAACAGGCCGCTGGAGCGGAGGGCCCGCGTGTGCCTGCGGTTCGTGGAGACAGAAGTGCTACCGGTGGACTTAAGAAGGTAGAGACAATTTCGGTGTCTAGCTGCGTGCGTGCTAACAGTCTACTAGCCGAAGCTTACGGAAGAGGAACTGTCTCGACGCATTGCTGCCGCCAAGGAGAACGCTGCTAAAGTTGCTGCTGCGCATGCTCGTGCTGAAGCTGACCAAGCATCGTTCCTTGAGCGCGAGAAGGTCGCTGAGGAGAAGCGCCGTCAGGAACGCCAACATCGTCGGGTCATGGACAACGAGCGGGAGCGTAACCGACTGCGCAAATTGAATGCCTTGAATGGACGGGAGTGGGATGCGGAGAAGAAGGAGGAGAACTACAATGGCCGTGGTGGTGGTAAGCAGTTCCGGCGTGGTATGCATGGCGGTGTGTCTGGATACGCTCGACGCGACTTTGATTCGCAACCCGGCGAAGATCTGCTCAACGATGACAGTCAGCCTCATCACTATCGGGGTCGTGGACGTGGTGGCAGGGGTGGACGCGGCCGGGGAGGACATCGCGGGCCTCGAGGAGAAACAACACTGGATGGCGCCTCTGACCAGCCTACTACAGGCAAGTCCAAGCCCGAAGCACCTGCTCCAGTCATCACCAACGAACTCGAATTCCCTGCACTGCCTGGCAGCGAGAAGAAGAGCGGTGACGGGGCGCCTGCTACTCCCGACCTGCTGAAATCGGACTCCTTGTCTCCGGTAGCAGGCACCAGCTGGGCCGAACAAGTCGAGTCCCAGTAATCTCAACTTCACGAATGCTTATGCTTCTCATATTATCATGATCTGCTTCCATCTCTTTTCTCAAGACCTGATGCACTCAATATTCCCCAAAATATTAGTTTGTTGCTTGCTTCGCCATGATACCATGCGATGACCTACAAGAGCGCCTATTTAATACCATTATGATGATGCTTTGCCCGGTGAGCTATGATGAGATTGTACATACATACAGCACACAATACAGCCCAAGTCCAGTCATCCTAGCCCCCAATCCCTCCCAATTGTATCAATGATCTTCAACAATGACATCTCCCTCAGTGTCCCGTTCCATGGATCCCCATGACTAAGCCCAGTGGCAACAACTGGCCAATCAAGCCCAGACCTATGACGTGTGTTCATGATGAGATCACTGAGGTCACCATTCAATCCCAGATATAAAACGGCCAATCTCAGATCTGAGAGGATGCTTTATCCTACACGATTATTACTATCTTAATCAAGCTCTAGGTACGTTGTGCTGCATCACTTTCCTCCCTCTATCCCATACACCCCCAGCTATATTCAACAAACTACCGACTCCCGAACTATACACCACCCCAGCACCGTGACATATAAACTAACATGATACTATATATGCAGACACAACACAACACACCAAACAACGAATCCAACTCAAGATAACGAAAATGGCCCAAAACCGTCTCCCCTCCTCCACCCGCGGCGGCGCCAGCGCCCAACCCACCCCCGCCAACAACTCCGGCGGCGGTAGTGGCTGGGGCGACGAAGGACATCCCAAGGGAGGAGGTGCACCGACAGCATCGACTGATATTTCTGTACGTCCCCATTCCCCATCCCCCCTTCCCC